TTCTTTTAATAGGAAAATCAATTGAATGTAGATTGGCATCAATTGAAATCTTTACTGAAGTTGATCATCCTGAGTTCTGGAGACGTGGTCCCTCCAAAATTAACTCCTTAATGAGTATACCATATAATTGTTTGGGGGGGCGCTACACCAATCAGCATCCAACATTACACACAATAAATGATCAACAAAATCTTGACACCAAATTCCAAAGAACAGAAAAATAACAGGATAAATACGTTGCGTGCATTTTTGATATGACAATGATGTAAATAGCGGAGCCATTGGAACAATTTCAACTCGGATTTCAAGCGATCAATTTCAATGCCTAATCCAATTGAGGTATAGTGCCAAAGTGATGTAACTGGTTCAGTATGGTTCAGTTATTGACAGTATGTGAACTGAATTAACCTTTTTCACGCCGTGGCTCACGTTGATGGAGGTAGGCAAGCGATCTGGATGGTCCAAACCTGCCAAAAATGACAACAACGACCGTGATCCCCCTGGTGCAGTTGGCAAAACATGGTTCCGTAATTTGACCAACCAAAAAATATTGGCCGTTCTAGATTCTAGATCATCATGTCAGGGTGAAAAATAAGGATAACCTATTTGAAACCCCAGTTGAGATATCGACAGCTTGTTACTAACAAGGAGAGTCTATCAGTCCATCAACATGCAAACAACCTAGATTGAAAACTTAGTGTGTCGATCAAGGAGGACCACTTGTTGAGGCCAAGCTTGTTCCGACTCAAGCTCTCAATACTCTTGGCGCACATCCGCTAAAATCCTCTACGTTAGCCCAACAAAAATGAACGTCTGATTGCCGGGTTGAACAAGCCGCGCCATGATGGGTTGAATTCATCAAGAATCTGTATGGACTGGAAAGATCTGGGACCTCCCCCCATGGCCTCCCCAACAGACTGAACTCAGGGGATTGAAGATATTTTCTTAAGATATACCAAGCGACTCATTTGAACTTCAACTCCGATGAAAACTGAGTTGCTCACAACCTTGCGAGAAGGCAATCGCATACAATACAAGATGCATCTTCAACATCACTATTCTGCAGGTTTTCTTCCAGACCAAGAACATCTCATTGTTGCTGGTATGTTTCAAGACAGCTACAATAAATACAATGAATACATAAACATAAAACAAAAAAAGAAATAATAAAAACATCATGGAGATGACTTCAATATATACTGATGCAACTGTATCGAAGAAACAAACGGCATAATACAATTGTTTCACCAACACCGTTGCCCTCGACAGCTTGGATTCACCGCCGAGTTGCGACCATTGCACAAAACATGGCGAAACTGGGATGCTTCACCGTCCTGCCAGGTGGTTCCCTTCGGAGCCTACGAGCCTATGAACTTAGAGCTGACAGTGGCCCCATCTGATGGAATCTGGACGCGGGCCGTCAGTGGCTACTCAACACACTGGAACTTCAACACTAAGAATCAGACCGGCAAAGATTTACGTTGGCCATCTTTGATGCGACCCAAAAAAGGCAATGGACAGTAAACTGGACCCAGCGTGCCGACACCCCAGCGTCTGTTGTAGATCACAAGATCAAGATCTCAAGTTCACAACGAAATGAAACCAGAAGAATGCTCGATTGATACAAGAACATCGTTGGGATTTGTTCACCAGAAGGTCCCCGGATGGTCAGCCACTGTTACTAAAAGGATTTGCTAACTGGAAACTCTGCAGGTCTTCACCGTCGTCAACCTCCCATTCCTATCTGATCGTATATGTCTCTATTGACCAAACCGAAGCAAAATTTCGCAACCCAATGCTGAACTGAATAAACGCACAGCAGAACAACTCCGCATGTAGCCCATCATTTTCATTGTTCGCAGGCCCGAAATCAGCCCCTGGATAAACGGCCTCTGGATGAATGTGGTGAATATACCCATAGATCCGGTGCTACTCGTAAACCTGGCGTTGATTTTGTGTGATTTTGTGGATGAGCACAGGGAGGTGGCAGGAATAACAAAGAACGAATAACACATCAGCCACAAGGATGGGGATAGAAGCAAACAAAACATATCAATACGATCATTCTAGTAAAAAGCAAGAACATGAGCCACTATTGTGCACAAGTTAATTTTATATAATCAAATGCAATGTAGAGTATGAAAACATTATGCAGCATGCATCGCCTATGCATCGCCTATCAGCTTCTTGATCTTGTCTGATTGCCAAAGTACAAGCAGCAAGACACAACCATATTGCAATGCTTCAATGGGCAACTGAAAGGAAGTGGGCTCAAAATGTGAAGATCTTGAAACTAGCATGCATTCGTGGCCAACTTGGATCAAGCATGATGTGGGTCAAGTCACAAAAAGGGGCATCTAACTGACAAATACAGCAATGAGACCCAGTCTACCTCAAGGTGGTCCACCCTGTTTGGTCCCTGGATGGGAAGGCTGTCCCAACAACTGAACAGAATCTATTCATAAACAAACTTGATGTACACCCCCCACCACACACCTACACAAATTGTGTGTAACGTTTGTATATCATTTATATATACATGTTGACAATGTATGTCATGTAGTTATATGTAGTTCAATTTATATGTATAATATCATGATATTTAATGCTATGTAGTATTTGATATCCTCTAATGTTGCGTAACATTGTGCACCGTCATTCATGTCGTAAATTCATGCAATGATATGCAGTCTCATGCACTCTTGTGAAATCTTCCGAAATGGTTCTATGTGTAGTGTTGATCGTTTCGATAGGTTTCAGGTGCATTATCAGACAATGTTATGTGTCTTATGTAGAATGAAATAATGTCATGGAATGTAATGCAATATCATGAAATGTAATGCAATATCATGCAATGTGATGCAATATAGGTGTACAGCAACAGATTGAATGGAGCGGAACCTGGTGTAATATCGCGTACTGTAAATAGTCGAAACATGCCGTAAAATATACATATATATATAACAATATATAACAGTAATTAACCGTATGGGTAACATATCTATCAAAATTGTCTACACCTATACCATCTATCTTGTATCCTTTGTCCAACAACTTTTTTACCTCCACCCACTTGAGCCATCTTTGACTGCCACCAGCTGCCTGTTGCCCTTGCCATTCAAGGCGAATCTGGATCGATGCCTCCGAACCTCTGACTGCTCAGCTTTTTCCTGACGAGGATCGTCTGCTGGTTAGTACCGGGCTGCTGGTGGTTAGTGACCCTTGGGGATTGCACATGAATAGAATATAATAGAATAATATGAGAAAATCATGTGAAGTTGAAAACAAATGTGACAAATGATTCAAGACACCAAAGAGTATCCTGCATTGCAAATCGCATGGAGATATTTTACACAATGAGTTGCAAGTGTGGTCAATAATCTCAAAAACAATACTAATAGCAATGCAGGACAGTAGTTTCAATGAGTGCCTGGGATTTACCAAGCATAAGGCATGAGATTGGGACCTATGAAAATACAGTTCTAATTTCAGAAGGTGCCTATGTAATTCCAAGATCCATCCAAGGTATGATGATGGAGGATGTCACAAAATAGCACTGCCCCCAATTTTAACGCCATGTTGATACGTCGGCCATATCGTTTTTTTTTGAAATTTGTGCTGCGTTGGATCAATGTCTGGAGGTACCTTCTTGATGGAGTCGATGCCTGGTTATCCTCTCCCTATTTCTCCTCATATTCTCCCCATGTTCTCTTTTTGTTCTCTGTTCCTGCTGTTCTCCTTATTAATGTCTCAACATGTTCTCAATAGTTTCTCCCTAATTGTGTATTTTCTTCGTATGTTATTCCTATTCTCTCTATGTTCTTCCTAGTATGTCCTTGCCCTTATCTTCCCCCTATGTTCTTCCAATTTTTGCATTCTCGATATGTTCTTCTCCTTGTAAGGATTCTTCTCTCTTTTCCTTACCGATTGTAGCAACTGGATAAAACCAGGAACCCAATGTGTCACGATATGGATATTTAATGATTTTCATTGATACAGTATGTAATTCTCATTACTGTAGTTATTCTCGTTTGCAAGCTTTCCTTCACCGGCAGACTGGGTGTAAATGAGTTGTTGGTGTCCGCAGGAGAGTGACTTGCCTCCTGGAATCATTGTTCAAAGACGGATCAAATCAGTTTAAAGCTGATGTGGAATCATGTTGCATTATTTGTTTTTTCTTATCGGATAACATTGGTCATAGTGAACCCCCATGTAAGCATAAGCTATGATATATATTATGATATTGAGTTGTAGGTTGCTTTATGTTGCTTTGTATCGGTCCATCTGATCTCGGAGCTACTAGCTACGGCTATCAAATATAGCCATTTTAAATTATCATTGCTTTTATCATAGCGGCAAACACAATATTTTCAACGAGCGGCAAACAGTTCCAAGTCCCAATCATCGTACATGCCTTGAGCCGCGCAGATTCAGTCGGGCTCCAGAGTGGGGGTACCATGGGTGAAATTCCGACAATGAAAATAGAACAATTATGTATATCATCATACAATTTATGACATACGTATTTACTACTCATAAAAAATATACCTATCTATCTATCTACCTATCTATCTATCTAATCTAATCTAATCTAATCTAATCTAATCTATCTATCTATCTAACTATCTCTATCTATCTATCTATCTAACTATCTATCTGATCTGATCTGATCTGATCTGATCTAATCTGATCTGATCTAATCTAATCTATTCTATTCTTTTCTAATCTAATCATATCATATCATATCATATCTAATCTATCTATCTATCTGATCTGATCTAATCTAATCTATTCTATTCTAATCTAATCTAATCTAATCTAATCTATTCTAATCTAATCTAATCTGTCTATCTATCTATCTATCTATCGATCGATCTATCTATCTATCTATCTATCTTACACTATATATACCATAGAGTAGCCATCAACAACGCTGACATATTCTACGTTCTAACATATAAACCAACCATCAGGGAGGTCACTGGGGTTTTGAATGAGATGACCAACGTCTTGCGTTTGCTACAGGAATGGGCAGGAACGGCTTGATGGTTGCTACATGTTGCTATCAACAAAATGCCAATTTGGAGTTAAACAGCTTCCAATCCTCCAAGCCAAGTAGGCTTTGTTCGAATAAAGAGTCAGCTTTCTGAAAGCGACAACTGGTCTTCACAACGTGAAACAAAACATATGACATATTGGCAAGTAGAATTACTATGAGCACCTGTAATCTGATCAATGATGCAAAGCGTTGTGCAGTTTAAATCAAACAAGAAAATTAATTCATGTTCATTTACGTGCATCCGAATAGAACGGCTACATGGTGTCAGTTCCTTTGACTCTTGCTCAAGACTCAGAGTCCTTGTATAGAATTTATCGCTGTACCATGCTGCACCTTTTCAATACTTTGTGGTCTGCAAGGTACTACACCCCACTGCCACAATAGTTTAGGCACCCGACAAGCCGCAGGCATTACAAGTAAGTCTACTCTGAAGTTTTTGGCAACGTTGGAAAAGAATATCTAGCAGGGAATTAACACTCGATTCTAACTCGAGACCCTCGGACCGAAGATCATTCTTGAGTAATCTTGAGTATATATAAATTGATAGAGTAAATCTAAGCATTCTCATAGCATTCTCTAATGCAAGCAAACAAAAGACAACAATGAGCCCTTGGCGGCACTTGCTCCTAAATCCATCACATACTGCAAGTCTCAGCAGGAGACTGTACTGCAGGGATACATAATATGATATTCATTGATATGCTATGATTCTATATCACAATGATGACTGTCACAATGAACCCTGGTTATGATTCCCTTGGGATTTACGAGCTCCTTCCGTCCTTGTCTTTTGTTTATGAAAACGAGCAGCTGAATACAGCATTCGTTGGCGTAAAGGATGGTGACCCAACCTTTGGCCGAGCCGGGCCAGTCTCGAACCAAACCGATCCGCTATTTTAGGCTCGGCAGTTTCAATCAGCCTGAAACATGGAGTCGAAACTACGTAATATCATAATCATAGTTCACTGGGCACAAACATATTATAATAGTACAAAAAAAGTTCTCGCCAATGAAAGCAACATATGTTGGACATTGTTGGACCCCTTCCATCATGCTTCCATCATGCATCCGTCATGAACCTGATTGATGTCCAGAACAATTCTATGTAGGCAATTGAACCACAGCAACCAGCAACAATGCACATTGTTCAGCACCTGCCTCGGGGTATAGATGTGCCGGGAGATCATCATCATCTGACATATCCTGCGATGTCGCAGCTGCAAATGACTGCGTACTTAATGCTAAAATTATCAAAATTGGCATCCGACCGATCGAATGATGGATTGTAACCCCAATGTGGACCAAGGGGTGGCATATCGGGTTCCTCAAGATTCCAATCAGAAAATGGTGCATCTTTTTGACGCCACAAATCAACGAGAGAGAGACCCACAATGTCGAAAAAACTCCGAACGGACAAGTCAGAATGATGAACCAACTCAAATCACCGCGTTTTTTCACCAAACGGTGAGGTGTCCGTGCCTGGAGATCATAACAAACATTCATTGAGCTTGTCGCCTTCACAGAGTCCAACTTACTGCTCAAGGCCTCCTGACGCCGCTAAATGGGATGAACTTCACCTTTTTGGGTGGCTGAATCACCCAGGGATCCCAGGACTCAAAAAGAACCAGAAAAATCCGCCCACACCGCTTTGGCGGTGAAGGCGTGCTTATTGGGGGGCAAAACAGCAACACTAAATGCTCAATGACATTTGTTAATATAGCAGTCGCTATATCAGCTTTAGCTTGGGGGGGGGGGGCCAAAAACGGTTTCGCACCGAGACCAGAATACGGGGGGGTTTTCGACATTTTTCGAGGATTTTTGGGGGTCTGAGCGCAAGAGGGTATTGAAATGGAATTTTGGGTCATTTTGGTAGCTTTCCGGCAATGGAAAAACGGCCAAAAATGAAAAAAACATTGTACATAGCAAGATTTTGCAGGGTTTTTGGATGCCAGAGCATTGAAAACACTGCAAAAAACAAGTGTTTTGGACTGACGTTATAGCAAAAAACGTGTAAATTACCGTATGCTTGACTGGAAACATTACAAAAACACCGTCAAAAGCAATGTTTTGGAAGGATTTACTGCCTTTATGGCAAAAAACGTGTAAATTACCGTCTGTTTGACTGGAAACATTGGAAAAACACTGTCAAAAACAATGTTTTGGAAGGATTTCGTATATATATGTTGGAGTTGGCTACCGGCATTGGAACATGGAAAAATTGAAGAAAACACTGTAAATAGCGGTATTTTCAACGGTTGGGGAGATAAGGGAATTGGAAGCATTGTCGAACATGATGTTTTCGACCGGTTTTATGGCGACAAAAGTGTAAAGTACCGTGCTTTGAAGGAAACCATTGCAAACATGGAAACACATTCAAAGAACACGGGATTTGGGGGACTATCTAGGCGTCGTTGTCTAGCTATTTGAAATTCCGCAGCTTGGAGAGCCTCCAAGGGAGGGAAAAGTGAAAATTCCATAGCTTGGGAAGCTGTCACGGCGGGGAAAAGTGAAAATTCCCTAGCTTGGGAAACCCCCACGGGGGGGAAAAGTTAAAAATTCCCTAGCTTGGGGAGCCCCCACGGGGGGGAAAAGTGAAAATTCCCTAGCTTGGGGAGCCCCCACGGGGGGGAAAAGTGAAAATTCCCTAGCTTGGGGAGCCCCCACGGGGGGAAAAGCGAAAATTCCCTAGCTTGGGGAGCCCCCACGGGGGGGAAAAGTGAAAATTCCCTAGCTTGGGGAGCCCCCACGGGGGGGGAAAGTTAAAAGTCTTAGCTTGGGGAGCCCCCACGGGGGACAACCACCCTTCACGGACCGAAATAAACCTGCGGTGTGGGCGGCCACCACACGCGAAGCGGGGTGAATATATTGTCAACGTTGATCATCATCTTTCTGTAAGATGAATAGTTAGGCACAGAGATTCAAAAAGACCTAAACAAAAATGCTAGATTTGCTAGATGGTTTCAACCTCACCAGGTGCGACCCAAATGACCGATCAAACAATCCGGACCAATCAGCTCATCATCTTATGCAGGTATCAAAGGAGGAATAAAGCGACAGTGTACTTGGGGTACGCATGTACTGCACCATAGTCTTTAGATCCCTTTCCAAACCTGTACATTTCTTTTTTTCTTCTCATCCAATTCTGGTCTTATCCTGTGTTGGGTTGTGTTAAGACTCAAGACCCTGTACAACCCTTCTGGAAAATCTCTCTTTGGATCGCTTGCCTGTTCAACTCGAATACACACTGCCTTTCTCTTACCGGCAAAGCATTGGCATTGGCTGCGAGGACGCGACATCAACCCATCGACCCATCGACCCCCCTTTCCGCTCCGAGACGGTGGACACAGTGTGGCTCATGGAGCGTCCCACATCACCTGGCACCAGGTGTCGCCGGTCATGACGGTCATGACGTTGGATTGATCATGCGAGGGTGAGAGCCCTTGTAACACCCACACTACGGGTAGATATTAAACATAGTTATCATAGTTATACATCATTATACGGTATACGTGACACAAGAAGAGTCGACTATTTCCTCAAAATTATGGCCCGGGACAGATCATTTTTATCTGGTTGGCGGTTTCAATCCTGAAAACTATGCTCGCCATTGGAGATCATCCATCCCAGGAATATATATACACATACTATCATATAATATACTGCATTATACTCCCACACATACTCCCCTAAATGTTGAAACCACCAAGCAGATATGGCTTGCCCATTGGTGGCCTCTGCATCCCATGAAATCATGGCAAGACACTGGCTGCTGATTTTCTGCTGAGAAGCTCCCGCAACATGGTTTCCTGCCTTGGCGAAGGGTACCACATGGTACCATCATGGCGAATCTCATGAAGCTGCGTATGATGGTCACTCATTATCACTTTGTTATCACTTTGTTATACTTTATCTCGCTTTATATCCATCTATGACAACAAAAGATTGAGGTATTCAACAGACGATATATATATATATAATATAATTCTATATCTATCCAAGGTTTGGCCAGGAAAGTGATGTACGTTGTGGACCCTATCCTCCCCCATCAACAACATGAGCATATGGAACCTAGCCAAATGGAATCAACTCTGATGCGCTCGAGTTGTAACAAATCTGTGAGTTCGGCTTCTACAGGCTTCTACCCATGTATGATCATCTATGGGTGGCAAGAAGTCCGAGATGCTAAGAAACCACCAGTCATGAGGTAATGTTCAGTTTTTTTTAGTTTGAAATATGGACATTGGGGATATCAGCAGAGGCAAGAGGTAAATCTGTCAAGCATGTCTTCCGAACGCCCACACTGCCGTGCGGCCCGTCCAAACGGAGCATCATATCCTTAGACGTCGACGTGACCAGATCACAGGTGGCTGGGCTGTCATAGGTCCAATTGGGTTCAATGGAACCTCACCTTGGGTCATGCATGTCTTCTCAGTATCATTCAGTATCTTGGGACAATTCTCATTCCAATGGTTTAGTGGATGGAGGAGGACTATCTGATTTCCACTCACATGTACTCAAAGGTACCAGAAGGGACCATATTATGGGACCAGAAGGTACTGAACACCAAATCATCCTGCTCCCCACCGAAATCCACAAAAATATACAAAAATAGCATCCTTCCGCATTTTCTCCATCATGGTCTTCAGGTCAATCTCATCCAGCTTTTGGATACCCGGCAAAGACTCCCCTGGCATGGCCAGTACTATCCCCCATCCCCACTGCCGATTTTGAAGTAATGTGATGACACAAAAACGAACAGGCTGCAGTTTTTCTGTCTACCCCAAAGGTTTGGGTTGATTTTGGGTACGTACAAGCAATGACCATCAAAGATCATCAAACATCTTTCATCCCAAAGTTGGAAAAAAGTCTTCATCTGAGCCGCACCTGACAGATCCAACGGTTCTTTTTGGCACCCGGCCTTGGCCTGTCTGGCTTTCGAGTCTTCCGAGGGACTCATGGTTTCCATTCATGAAGGGCTCAACTCGGCAGCTGGGCAGCGGCATCTCCACTGGCCCATCCTCCTGTGGAATGTTTGCACAGACGACAGACCACATGACCCAAATAGAAACCCCAAAAGAAACCAAAATACAACAGATATCAACAGATGATCCACACAGATCCTAGCGATTTCTTAACATCAACAAATCAGTGGTTGGGGAGCTCCACATTGAATGCTGTGAAAATAATGCCGGCTTCAAGGGATTTCACTGCAGTCAACCTTTGATAGTGAGCTTTTAGACTGTGGCCTGAATGGCATCTGAAATCGATGACTTCCACGGTCTCATGTCGCGGTCCATGGCGAACATCAAGTGAGGCAAAACTTAATGAAGTTTCATACAAAAGTGGAGCAACACATGCAGATGCTTGCCCTTCGTACCCAGTAGCTGGATGTAGTTGGCAGAGTTATGGTCGGTCTTGGAAGATCAATTAGCAAGATGAGTTTACTCGATCCTACCCCAAGCTTGAAATGATCGAGCCTCCGAGCACCTGTTGATTTCCTGTTGCGAATTTCCGACGTGTCGCATGCTTCGCAGTTCTCAACTGGTTAAAACCTAAATGCCCGCGCCACAAGAGGTTACAAGAGGAAAGGCCAAAGGGTAATGACCATCATCGTGATGATGATGGTGATGATGATGATGATGATGGTGGTGGTGGTGATGGTGGTGGTGATGGTGGTGATGATGATGATGATGGTGGTGGTGATGATGATATTGGCTAGTTTAAATACAGGTGTAGATTTATAAACTTTATATATTCTATATATTATGTTAAATAATCAGTGTTACATAAATGTCTGTGCGTTTGACTGGCGATGATGACTACACACCTGCATTCACACACACACACAAACTGCAGTACCGAACGTGGAGGATGATCACCAGGACTTCGTCAACTCAACCATAAGGGGCTAAAATGATAGTACCATGAAGGAACATGTGCAACAACTTGCCTTCCCAACCCTAGGGGGACAGCATGTGTTTTTTCTTCCTCTCGGTTGCGCCGGTTGTGACTGCAGGGTCTGGCGGGAGCATTGTGATTAAATCACCTTTCCCAAAAGAGAAACCCATGGATTCAGGTCTCCACTTTCGAGTTCACCAAGCCGGTCATGAGAGTTGCAAACCCGGGTACTGTAGTGCTTGCAATCAGCAGTGTTGATGGATATCATAGATATTGATAGTATAAATGATAGTGTAAATGTCCCAGGATTTCGGACTGTCCGGCTTGGGTAAATTATAATTCTGGGAAGGTTGGAGTGCGGCGCACTGAGGTCCAACAATTCGTGGACTCCAGGAAGATTGTCCACAGATCGAACCTATCAGAGCAGTATCTGGTATACGAGTGATTCCATGCGCCTGTGCATGTAAGTATAATATACTATAATATGAAAATTATGCATGAATGTCCAAGATATGTTGATGTGTGTTAGAAAACCTGATAATATGAATCATATAAAACATGCGCCTCCTCTTTGCAATATCGAGTCCACTTCCAGTGGGTAAGCCGCTCCCGCATTCGCGGGACGGGCCGCTGGCAAAGCTCATGGGTCGGGGAAAGCAAACCCACAGGGACAGTGAGACTAGTTGGATTAGTTGGACTAGTTGGTGGTTTCAAGCCCGAAAAACTATCCGAACATATGGTACATCATTTGTATTAATATTATTCATAGCATTTTATATCATTAAAATTGGGATCATTATCATCATTATCAAGGTATTAGAGTGGAGAATAACCTATATTTGAAACCACCAACCAGATCCAAACATAAATCAGAAGAGTTCTCAAGGCCCCGATGACCCATGTGACCCGAATCTTCTCCGAAACAAACGTGTTGGCTATTCATTGTGAGAACTGCCGGCCTGGCTGTTAACCTAAGTCCACAAGGAGAGTCAAAGGATCTTCCACTGAATCTCCCCAATATGGGCTCCTCCATATAAGGGAGGCTTAGAGGCTTAGAACCTTTTTAAGGTGCAGTCTCCATCTAGGCCATGTTTTAGCCCCTTCAGCCAACTGCAAGAAGTTCAATCAACTCTATTTTGATTCGTTTCGTGGTTTGTGATGGTTGGGTGAATCATTTCAGATAATTTTCATCTGCAAGTCCAACAGAAACATATGGTTTAATTTCGCCCGAGTGTTGGGGGCTTGCCTTTCCAAAACCAGGTGGCACTATCAGGAAAGGACGGAATCTGCCCAGTGGCCGAAGCGATGAGCTCCTGGAATTCGGACTGTTCAATTCTGGGCGTGTAACGTTCAGACTATACATTAAATGCGTTTCGATGCATATTTTCTATAGTCACGAAAGCAACGCTCTTGTTCCAGACTACCGCTCTAAACGTTTGCGCAGGCATCAGGAAGTTTGCATTGGGCAGAATCTTGATCGAATGGAAGAAGGTTTGAAACACAATTCGTGCAGAGCGAGAGTGCTGCAACGAAGAACCTGTTGTTATGGTTTCCATCGTTTCATTGGGATTCTTCACCGTTTCATTGTTTTTTACACTGGTTTCGTCGGGCTTCTTTTCGCCGTTCAAAAATCCACAACAAGCTGAAACATCAGAACTAAACCAGACTACCGACAAATGAGGTGCCATTTGTTGCTAGGAGTTTGACGCAACACATGAAACTACCTAGAGGAGTGTATGCTTTGATTTTGTGTAGGCTGGGGGTGATTTCCCAGCATGTCTTTCATTTGGGATTGAAACCGATGGTCTCTTGGAATACGTTTGTATACGTTTGTGCTCATCCTGCTCTTCCAGTTCTCAACGCGAGCATTTACAGCGGCAAGACATGCTATAGCTGCAGCTTGTACTCCAACGTTGATAGAAAACACAAGAGAGAGAGAGAGAGATCAACAAAACAGCAAAAAAAAACAAGACTGAAAAGCTGCTCGGAGTCAATAGTTAATGCCGGCAGCAATGAATCATGAAAAAGCAACAAGTTTGCAGCCCTGAAAACACAAACTGTGGAGTTCTCCTGGATTCGACGTAGTTCCACTTCCTGGGCGAAGCACTTGAACCCCCGAAACACCAAACATCACCAGACTGGATTCTGTTGGCTGATAGATCACGCCATCACAAAGTGGAACGGATGCGAACGGGTATTTTGCCTCAGCCATCTGTGCATATAGTATAGTAAAGGAGTGCATGTAGAATAATTATAATATTAAACCTTTTTTTCATGATATATAATATGCAGATAAAACTATATTATACTATACATATTATATATATATGTTGACTTGTAGCTCTACAGTGAGAGCATTGTGAAGTCATCCGGCCCTCAGCCAGGATTCCTTCTGTCACGGCAAACTGAAACCTGTGATCACAACCATCATTGTCTTACTAGCATTTAGTTTCCATTCAAATTCAAACAATCACGACCTAGAATATTGTTCGGATCAAAACCATCACTGAAATGTCAGTGTGTGTGTGTGACAGCATCTCTTGAAATTTAAAGGTTGAATTTCAATGAATTTCACCTGGTTTTCTCTGGATCAAATGCATGATTTGTTGGTAATCTATGGCAATGAATCTCATTGGCAATGAACCAATCTTGCGATCTACAGGACTCAGTGCATGCAGGTTCTGCAAAATTGTGCGAATTCGTAAGCATCATACTCTTTTTTTCTAATGTGTCCTGCCGATGGATGAAACCCTTTACTAGATTGAAAAAGGACCATCCTCGAAACAGAAACATATTGGAAATCAAAGAAACATGGGTAGCATTGCGCAGCATATTGGGTCTGGGAATGTTTGGGACACAGAATCTCAAAAGATCTTTGTCTATCTTTGTCTATCTTTGTCCAAGTTGCGACCCATGTTTGGAACTTCCTGAGCTGGGACAAGGGAGAGAAGCCCTCATCGGGGTGGTTGCTGGGGACTGGTTGGTGCATAAAATCATTTTTGAACTGGCTCGGGGGCCACATGGGTCAATATATGTCATGTACTGTCATGTCATTCAGTATCAATCCACACTTATTATGCATCTTGCTGCACACGGCGGCATTATTACTCAATACTAGTTAGTTTTCTGCACTTGCGTAAAAGCGACCATGTTTGATGGAATTTAGAGCTTCCAACCCTGGGACCTGCACCGTTGACATGGACATGGCAAGCCATGCTTTCGAAATCAACACTTGTTGCTTTTGCTGTTGGGTGTCGGTGGGATATTCACACCAACCACCACAAAAATTACAACGGCAATCCAAAGAAAATGTGGCGGTTTATCTCAAAAACTGGTGGTATATTCACCAATGCAGCGTCAATCCACCCCCAAAAATGCGCCAGGCATCCCCTGGTTTTTGATGAGCCATGTCTGATCCTCGGAGATGACGAATGGATGGCGTCTCGCCATTTTTTTTTCATTGCCGCTCTTTTGCATGGCAACCTAAAATCAACAATGCCGTTTTCAGTGTTATGTTTTTATTTGCTGGCTATATTTGGTCTGTCCTTTTCACAAACGCAAACTCCTGCTGTGCCTATGAACGGCCGCTTAGACCGAACAAACACTACTGCCGAATCAACTGTCAAAATAAAAAAGACCAGTGAAATTGTTGCGTTTACAGCACATTACCAGGTCAGAAAATACATAAACATCAATAATATAATATACAGTGTATATAATATAGAAATACATATTATAAATATATATATATATACCCTAAGCTTCCAAGGCCAATTTTTTAATAGTCGTTCCATGAAAGCCTATTTCCAAAATAGTCGCAAGTCGTGGATATCCCTCTTCCCCAGGGAAGTTCCAAAGAATCAAATTGATCATTCATGGGTGTTCATCAGTTTCTCTCCCAAAGTTCTTCTTTTACCTCTTGCGATGTCCAAGTCTGCTGCATGCAGAGCGGTTTAACCTCAGATTGAGAGTGGTGAGGATGGTTTGTTTGACACAGTTATCTGGGAAACATTAAAAACATCCTGAATTTAATTGGTGTGTATTGAACAAGCTTATATTATAACATAGCACAAATAAAATATTATGATCCAATCATCACCAGTGCAAAACAAGATGCGACTTGATCTTCAACTTTGTTGCCCAAATCCTTAGATGGACAACTTTGCCAGTTGTACTTGGTGAAAAAAAACATGCACCAACAAAAAATAACAAAAGACTTTGCAATTTGTGATGTCCGCTTCACCCCAGAAAGCTTCAACAAAACTTTGCGCGTGGAAAGCAAAACCCACACCCCATGCCAGCCCAACTCAATGAGCTTAGAATCCGCAAGCGTCCACAGCGGACAATCCACCGCGTCCTGTGCAAAGCATGCGCTTGTAGGTAGACACCTTGGCAAAAGCTTATCAGGGATGAAACTGAATGATGGGTTTACAAGACTTTGCCAACAAAAAAAATAGGGGACACCACACAACAAAATAAGAAAAAAAACTAATGAAATGTCAACCCGGGCTTCGTTTGCACCACGCCATACTATCCTCATCTACAAAACAATGCCAGAAACGTGGATTGCTTCCTTAGATATCGACAGGCATCCTGTGAATAAACAACCAAATCCCTTGGAATGGCTCAAAACCTGTTAACAAAGCACATGAAAGTATTTCAAAGCATTCTCAATGCAATCAAATGTCGTCGGTGCTTTACCTTGGCAAGAATGTGCCATAGAGCCTGGTTGTTTTGCAACAATCCAAACATTTTTGGGCAACAAAGCAAAACCAGGGGATTTCCAGATAGGCCAAGTGCCAAAAACAAAATTATGGAATTGAAACCAAGGGGCATGGATCTTCGGCCTGATCCCCCAGGTTTGTTCATTTCGCCTGGCATCGCTGGGGGGTATCGACTTGTGGCTTCAGGATGAAACATAGTTATATACATGTGCCCGAAACAAAACACTGTGTGTGTTCTTGAATTAGCCGGAAAACCACCTATAAAACATACAGCATCCCAATCTTTGGCATGAATAAAAACGTGATTCCAACTTTGGGGAGAATTGGGGACCTAAAGCCGTAATAATTATATTAATTCACTGACATGCCACTGAATCTCACAAGCCTCACTGAGATCATTGACAGCTTCAAATACAGTCGAAGGAAGCTTCGGCCATGGGAGAAAATATCATCAGATTGCTTTTGTGTCCTAAGTGAGCAAATGGCATGGTCCTAACCTAGACTAGGCAAAAGAACAAAACAACACAACCCCCACACCAAATGACATTCAGACATAGACTTCATTGTCATGATAATATATGCTTTCATCTACAGTTTCATTGTTAACCGTGTTCGGAAGCTTGGGGTATAATAATATTTCATGATAAGTGACATGACAATAATATATATATGATAGTGAATCAAATTTGCAAATGCTTTAAATTGATGATTGTCGCAATTACACTACATGCATTATACATTGTAAACCCCTGATATATCATATCAAATTGATCAAGGCAGGCATCAAAAACCGACCGGCCGTTTCGATGCCCAGCATGAACTGCGAAAGATGGAGCCTCGGTTCAATAGGGGCTCAAGCGATGAGGGCAGCAGGAAGTTGGAGAATTATCATGATCCAAGTAATGAGTTTTTTGGTCTCCATTCAAACTTACACTCCATATATTGGATTCAATAAGTTTTTCCAAATCAACACCATCATTCCCAGATCTTTAAATTGTCGATACAAACCAAAAAACAATATGTCCATTGAAGTCCATTGTGGACATATGGGATGGTTATATTGGACAAATGCGAGTATGAATGGCTCGCTCTCACCAGAAATTAGTTTTTTTTTTTTTAAATATAACCATATATATAGATGGCCATGGTTGTTTAGTGTGTGTGCCCCACAATTCCCCAAACAACTCTTGCCGGATTCCTTTGAGAAGCATGGCCAGGGCCACAATGGATATAGTATCATCAGCTGATTTGTAGGGCTCTGTCTCAGCTGCTTGGGCAACAACTTCAGTAAGCCACTGCATCACGACTCGGCCATTGTAGGCTTTGCACAGGAGCAAAACCTCTCCCGTCTTCATGTACAACTCAGTTGTCTGTGGGGATGGCAAATTTTCCAAACCATTTCTAGTCAAGAACATGCAACATTTTCTTTTTGTTTCAACTCTCGAAATTAAAAAAAAAAATAAGAAAACCTTAACCAAAAACAAATAACAATGTGCTAAATTTCTACTTGGCACAAGCTTTTCTTGGAAGCATGGCTGACTGCAGGAAATTTTTTTCAGTGAACACCACGCTTTAAATTGCAAGTATGCTCTGCGCAAGTGTACTCGGATGGGTTCTTGTTGCTGGCCCCAGAAGCCAAGTCTGATCAGTAAATGCCTTCCCAGGGTATCTGGCAGAGTAATCACTTGGAATTTTCTATGTGAAAGGAAAACCCGTTTTCAACACATGCAACTGTGATGATAAAAACAATTTGTGGGAACAACAAAATGTCAGAACATAGCTAAGTTACATTGTGGCACCGTTGGCAACATACAGAAGGCCAAGATGCACAATGTGCATCAAGCACCAGCGAATTGTGGATGGACAAAACTGCTGCAAGGCAATCAAAGGACCTGAGCTTCAGGTACGGACAGAGCTTGGGATACAAGGCCATCTGGTCAAATTTAAAGATAACTGGCAATGCAAAAGGAAACAAAACACACACAAGAAAACATGTAGGACATTTTTTTTGGTTATATACATCTGAAATTGAAGGTTTAAGTGTTTCTTTTGGTGTTCTAATTGACTGAACCTATCGCAAATATCACATGTTGTTTTTAAATTAACATGTAAAAAATGTTTTTTTTGTGATATGTAATGTCCAAGACTGAAGCAAATCTCAGTTTCAAATGTTCTGTGGTGGAATTCGATTGGCCAAAAAAGCACTCAAGTCAAAGTCCTGATGGTTGTTACTCTCCAGGTTCCAGTAGCACTCTTCCCACTTGTCAGACAGCCCTCGTGCATCACAAAAAGGGCACATTTTGTCACCGTTCCATTGACACTTGTGGAATCGAAAGATCTTCTTATGCCAAGCCCAATCTCCGCGAATTTCAGTGACTTGAAACTGAAAACCTTTTTTTGTCAGTGGCAATCCTTGCATTTGAGCATCCTTGCCAGATAGATTTTGCCCTGAGGGCCCAGCTGTGGGGAAAACACCGTTGTATGCATGGTTGCAACTCCAGACAATGCGGCGAAGTGCTGCTGTCAGAGTATTCGCTGTACACCTCTCTTCTGGTATTGTGAAAACGAGGAATCTAGAGAATCTCACTGATTTTGGGCGCCAAAGCACCAAATTGCAATAGACAGAAATGACATTTTCACTGCCAAAGGTTGTTCGAACACGGGCTGAATCACCGTATAACCCTATGGGAATGAATTTCAAGTAGTTTTCCTCGCTGATGTGCTGCGCCCATTCTTCCCCAAACTGTTTCGATTTTTGCCAGTATTCATGGATGATCTCCTCAGGAATTTGAAGCTCTGCGTCATCAAATAAGAAGTGCAATATCTTGTGTACATCAATGATGGGCCAGGGTTCATTTTGCACTACAGTAGCTCCATCCTCATTCACAAACTTCACGGGCACTGTCACATGGTTAACTTCCTCAATAGCAAACAGGGGGCCCACGTAAAATTAATTACTGTAGTTTCTACCCATACAACATCTACCCTGAGGTATGTTTAAAAACAAAAAAAATGAATGCCCAGGATGACATACATAACAAAATGTGAAAAACACCTAAATCGACAACAAAACCCCTGGGACATTTGGCACTATATATATATATATCTGAAAGCACGCACAAACAAGATTGTTGTTTTCTTGTGTTCTGTTCTGTTCAATTCAAAGTGTGACATATTTCTACCAATCCAAAAAAGAGTTGAAAACCACAATTGCAAGCTTAGTTTCTGGTCCTTTGGAAAGATGTCGCCACCAATTCCGCGAAGCATTTCGATTTCCCTTCAACTTGTAGGAGCCAAGTTTCCGTGTCATAGGATGCAACCGACCATGATTCGCATCCTGGGGCCAGAGAGGAACCCATCAATGGGCCGCAGCTGCCATATGATTTACATATAATATATATATATAGATATATTATTCTGTTAATAATGTTTTATCATGGTTGTGATGCACATGCACATTTTAAAAAATATAATATAATGGATTTGATTCAGTTTCAATAAATTAATATTACGTTGATTTGATGGATATGAGGGTGGAGACTTTGAAATTCCCCAAAAAAAAACTCCACTTAGTAGATTAGCAAATAGATCCACCATACTTGGGGAACCATCTTCACTTCTGTAGTAAGTAAGATCCTGGCCAGTATGCAATGTTCATGCCACTGATTTTCTTGTCCAAGTGTGGCACATGATTCAAATGACCCACCCAATCAGGGTTTACAATAGTTGAAACACCCAAACATTATGTTTTGTTACCTACATCACCACCACCAAAAAATGATATAGCCACCTCACCGGGTCTTACCTGGGGTTGGCTAGAGATGTACCTAGACGTCTCCTGGCTGGCTGCGGTCTGGCCAAGGATCTATCGCATGGGCATTGATGTTCTGCATGGCTTTCCCCACAGTGCTGCCCTCGGCTTTGGCACATGGGGGAAATGACAAAATCAAAGGAACAACTCTACTGTGGGGGAACACTATCAACATCAACCAGGTCATTTAAATGCAGGCGGTTAATTTCTTTGGTGATTCCAAAGTTACTGCCAGGAAAATCGGAGCTAAAATAGGTGAATCCAGACCTTTGAATTTTGTCATGATGCCTAGATAGGAGGACTAATTGTGTACAAAACCTTTTTGGATATAGTAATATATATTATATTATATTATATTATATTATATTATATTATATATATTATATTATATTATTATATATATATTATTATATTATATTATATATTATATTATATTATATTATATATATATATATTTATATTATATTATATTTATTATATTTATTATATATTATATATTATATCTATTATATTATTATATTATATATTATTGTATTTTATTTTATATTATATTATATTATATATATATTATTAATTAATATATTATTATTATGTGTTATCCAAATGATAATGACCTATTAGTTATGTTATAGTAGTAGGTAGTAGTATATACAACTGCTCTATTATGATTATTTCACTATGCAAACCAAGTGTCACCCCCGGCCACATCATGCACGGCATTTTGAAGTACTTGCCCATGTTCAACATCAGAAGACCCTGCGCGGGGGTGTTTATGTTTTTGGTATCAGGGCCCATCATGGGGTTGCCTAAGAAAAAAACATGCAATTGATGAAAGGTGCTTGGGTAACCCTGCACACAATAACATCAGAAGGCCAAATGTTTGCACCACACCAGTGCACATGACACTAGCCATCGTATGCTTCCATTGTGCATGATGTGTACTTTCTCTATCGCAGGCTCATGCTTGATATAGTGTATGCATCAAAAATCCTGCACTCTAGGAGGAAAGAACGCTTTTTTTTTTCCATGGATCAAGCCTTTCAAGCTCACGGCACAAATCCCAAGCCTCCTGTTGTTAAACAGACAGGAAGCCTGCTCCAAATCATCCGGCCATGTTGTCACCACTCGGCTATATTTCCAACTATGGGTGGTGCTTTTACCCTTTGAACTCCAAACCAAAAGTTTATTGACAGGGATGCAGCAGCGACTGGCCATTGCTTGCCCCCTTATGATTGCAGGAAGCATCACAAAACCAAGAACCAAACATTTGAACAAAGTTTGCAAGAGAACTAGTTCATTGTTTCATGTATAGAATGCATTTTTGGAGGAGTATATGTATGCGCAGGTGATCCAACTTTCACTTTGACACCGCAATGCCACCATTGCAAGCATGGACCGCTAACACTGCCTTGCGAGCTCCTGTATAGCTACATCGTACAGTAGCCCAAACACCTACCGGTTGCATCACTTCATACTGGTCCGGGCCACAAATTGTGTCCAGTCATCGATGGCCACCTTCGATTTGTCGACCAACTTCAAAAGGTCAGTGTCCTTGGACACCATATTGGCGACAAAAAGGCTTAGCAAACAAAGGTGGTAAAAACCACAAGTGCCACAAATACAAAAGCTCTGTGCCATTGTTTCATGCCTAGAATTTTCGAACCCAACATATGTGGATTAGAGAGATTACAGAATAAGATGCTTATGTTCCAACTACCTTGACAGGGTTTGCAGTCACACATTTGTGGTGGCGAGAGTAGACATATTTATATGCATGCACACAGGGAACAAAATGGATTATGACCTACTGTCCTTTTCATGAACCCTAGAGTAGGCAAGCACAGCATTTATGCATGCATGTGTAATGTATTTTCTTGTTTCAGGTGAAATTTAACATGTATAATACAAACACTCTACATACTTTTTCCTTAATAATCATCAGTTACATATGATGTCATATATATATAATATATATATAATATATAATATAATATATAATTATATTATATATATATAATTATATGCAACCATGGAACGTCCGCCGAATCCACCTTCTGCTGGATCTTGGTACGCACTGCAACCATGGCATTCTTGTGCGAAGCGATCTGGCCACCGAGGGCATGCCTGATGACTGGAGTCCTTGGCATGTCCACTGCGGGAACCCAGACTGGGCTGGCTGATCTGGGACCCTGAATAGTCAAAGAATAGGCTTGCTAATATTGATTACCACCCAAATGCACAGTGCCCGCATTAATTCAAATTAGGGGGTGCGAGATCCCTGAACAAATTGAGTCAGGCAATGATGAACTACAATTCCCATCATGATAGGCTCTTAAATAAGATTAAAAGGGTTTCAATTCTGGACAGACCCTGATGATGAATAGTTTCCAATAAATGCTTGTTATGGTTTGGTTCAACAAACACTGTCCACTCTAATGAGGCATTCACAAAAATCAATTTAAGTCAAAGCCATTCTCCCAATGGAGGTTTTATTTCATAACCCCCTGGGGGATGTAGTTTCAATGGACAGATAAACGGATACCTGACCCTGAAAATAAACACAGTAATACATGTACTATACATGTATGATATCCATGCATTGCCGAGACAACACTTGAAAAGAACTAAACTGTTGTGAATCAAAAAGGGAACTGGTGTTTCTTCACTAGCTAGTGTTTGTTCACAATCTTTGCTGCTGATTGTGGGGAACATGTGCATAGCATGTCTAACGTCGATCAAGTGAAATAGATTTATGAAAGATAGAACGGGATGGACTGCTATGATATGGTAATTGTTATCATCAGGGCATATAAAACAAATTCATTTTTTTGAAATGCTTTGGGATAAACTTCAACATCATGTGAAAGATGGCCCCTTTCTCATCCCCAAATTCGAATGAAGACCACCCTACTACCCCTGCGTTTGGCAAACTAACTGTATTCACAGTGTTTACTATGTTATATATATATATGAATTTAAAAAGTGGTTGCACCATCTTAAAGAAACCGTTTAATTATTTGCAGAGCAAATGGCCCCTGGGGGTGATCATATGTGTATCATTTTTTCGGTGGTTTCTAGACAAACTAATATATTATATATATATAATATATATTAATTAATATAATATCCAATATGTTGACTTCTTTTTGAGACAGTGATCAGTTACCATGAACGAAAAGCACATATTCTAATGTCATTTGCGATTCCAACTCCAAACAGTGTTTGAAATGTTATTGTGTGAAAACCAATTGCCTTTCGCAGTGCTTGATAAAAGCATTGGGGTGCACTTAGAACAAGTGCTATCAAGTTCTTACAGGTAACATAAGTTTGGCCAATATTTTCCCAGCACTAAATCTACTGATTTGTTCAAGCAAGAACCATAAGTATTGCAATGGGTTCATCCACACTGTCCAAATAATAATCAAACAGCGATCGACATAAATGGTTTGAACCAGAGCAGAGAAAACAAATAGATGTCTTGAATTCAAGCCAAATTCAACCGAAAGAAATGGTGTTCTTCTTTGCACGACTGTAGAGAGTGTCCTATTCCCAAGTCATTAAAATATATATATATACTATACTACACAGGGTTTACATATCATTGCCACAAAATATGCTATATAATTGGCTCCTGTATCACAGTTTAAAACCCTAAATCTTCATGAAGGAGAATGGTTGCATATGTTTTATTTCATGTATATCCTTAATATGGTTGATACACAATGTACCATTATATATATATATTACTAGATGATAATTGGTACAGTATTTCTTGGCTGCATCATTGTGATTTGTGAATTTTATTTCGTATATGAATGAGAAGGCATCAATTAACAGTTTTGTGTACATCATATATCAGTATATGTACTAACAACCATGTTAATATTCATTTCGTTCCTTTACATGTTTTTGTCAAAATTGCAATGTATTATTTCGAATTATATTTTTAACACATACATGTATTGTAATAGATATATCTAGTATATATACACATAGAAGTAGCTGGTAACATTTTATAATGTTGCAAATATCAGTATGTTAGATAATTTATGTGAGTCAATGTCAATACAATGAATCTTATGTTAGTTTATATATATATAAGATATCTACTATGAAATTATGTATGTTATATATAAATGATATTAGAACATACTATGTCATATTGTATGATACTGTTTAAAAATAATATTTTATTTGGTTTATGTTTTTACATAAATCATTTTACACTTTATTGAACACTATTTGGCTATTATTAAAATATTATATGTTGAACACATATTCAAGATGCAATAAAACAATATAATAGCATAAAGTACAGAGGAATATAATAGAATATAATATTTATTAGTTGGTATAATATATTTTCATATTGTTTCTTTATATTAGACATATTAGATAATATATATTATATGTATTCAAAATATATAGTATATAATATCTATTTATTTTATATTGTATATATTATATATATAATAATATACAATAATATATATATATATATATACAATATATATATACATATTTGTGTATGTATATACAGGTCATCACCTGGGCTGTCAATCCTCCAAATGTCCCACTTACTGAGGTGCCTGACATACTGGCTATACCCTTCTCCTTGTTGGAGGCATCTGCAATTTTGTCATTCAGCGCCGTCATGGCCTGTGCGGGCTCAAGTAGGGTATTGGAAAATTGGTAAAGAAATGGGTTTATTCATGTTTGAAAATTCTTGGATGTTGTTGAGATGATTTGTATTGGGTACTAGGCTCTCTAGACCATGGGGCCCCAATGTGCAAAAAACATACTGGTTTTGAGTATTTCCTACAAGATCTGAAAGAAAAGGTGTGTCGAATAAACCCCAAGAAGTTGAAAGTGCAACAAATTGAAGGTAACCAATCCTGATAAGGATTGGTGGGCCCAAGGTCACCCGAATCATACCATCTTGAACTTGGGATGGAAAGACCATGTTTGGAATCAGTGATTTCGATACCCAAAAACAGCAGTTGAACAGAACAATGGTCTAGTCCAAGTTGAATCATAAAATTGTTTGAAGAATACAATCATGATACAGTGGTGCCAAATCCAATTAAATCTTTTCCCATTGGCAGAGGGGTGAGCCAGCCGTATTTGGTGTCGGAACGTCAAATTCTAACAAATATTGTCCTAGTGCTGAACATTTAGCAGACTGAAGGGCTGAGCAGGATCTGAAAAACAACAATATATATAATATATATATATTAAGTATGCAGTGGATGTGCATGCATGTGCATGAATGTGCATGGGCATGCAAGTATTTCCGAGTGTGCATAGTTCCCGGAATATTTATTTGTAAATCTATATATATATATATAATATATGTCACACACAAATATAACATATATATATATTATAACATATTAAACACATCCTGGTACCTTTTGTCGAGTGAAATGACCATAATACCTGTTTAAGTGTGCATTGTGTGAATTTGTAAGCATGGATCAGGAAATCTCATTGCATGTTTAGAGCCATGCAGTGCCCGTCTCATCTAAAGGGCCTTTTTGCCTTTTCCAAATAGTTCCTTCTGCTGCTTCTTCTTCTCACGCTCCTCTTCCTTCTGAATCTTTTGCTTCTCCTTTTCCAAGCGTTTCTCTCGCTTCTCCTTGGTTTCCTTCTTCTTTCCTTTCTTCTCCTTCCGGCTACCTTTCTTTCCACTGCTTTTCTTACTCTTCTTCTTCTTCTTCGTCTTTCCCTGATGAAGAGAGTAGATGGATTTGGACACCAACATGATGCCTCAATGCCATCAATGAAATCAAGATCATCAGTTGCCCTAGTCTGTTCTTCAGTAAAGAAAACATACATGGTTGGAAAGCGTTTGGACATATTTTTCTGGGCATGCTTGACATTTTCTGTGAGAGCAAGCAATCTGGAAAACAATCCCAGCAAGATCCCAGCAGGAAAACAAACCCAGTAGTCCAAGCCCACCTTCTCAGATTCCGAATCTGATCCTGATTCCTCATCCTTGTCCTCATCATCTTCAGAACTGTCACTGCTCGATTTCTTCTTGCGTTTTTTGTCCTTTCTGCGTCGCGGGGCAGCCTCAGAGTCTGTGTCCCCATCAACAGCTTCGAAGAGATCCTCTACTATGGAGTCAGTGCGCTCACAGATTCCCTCGGAATCCCATACGAGATAGAGCCGCATCTCCTGGCCGGAGCAAGCAAGTGGTAAAACCCAGTGGAATCCAAATACCACGGCAGTAATTCGACAGAATAATCAGGTTGCAAATAGAACTGGTTGAACCATATCAGATTTAGATTACTGGTAACCATGAACATGTTACTGGCTAATCGCACATGCATGCATTGTGCATGCCATGTAGACTTGTTTGTTTTCTATAATGAAAATTATTTCAATTAAAGTACGTGATTTCTTTTTCGAACATTCGCTTGTTTTATCCATATAGTGCCATGCCATCACTACTTCCTCAGGGCTCACTCAAACCTCAAATCTTCATATCCCAACCCTGGAGCAATCATAAAACCAAGATCAACATAATATTATATATATTATAATATTATTATAATAAATATAATATATATGTAGATTAATTCAATGAAGAAATAAAAACAATATTCTGCTTTTGTTTGCCAAAACAAAATGGTAGAGGTAGTGAATCCAAGATGCAATTGGGTGCGACTGATCACATGTGTTCCAAATACACCTATTTGGTAGACCTATTTTAGGCTGATTGATGAACACACATGCCGGGGTTTCCCATATTTTCCTTTTTACCCTGTTTGTTGGGGGATTCTAGCTTTTGAAACTAGCCATTGCATTGCTTGCCCAAGTATATGGTGATCTGGAAACAACATAATGGTAGTTATTAAGGATTCTATTTCTTTCCCCTGGAGGTGTGTATTCCATTACACCATTCAATATTGGGTCCTAGGCCGTATAGCATATCTTCTGATGTGTGATTGTTATTATTACAATTTTTGGTGCCTTTATGGTTTGCAATATTCCTGAAAGGAACTAAAACACCAGTGTCAGGTGGTTCCAGGTTGGTAGTTGTTAGAACAAAAAAAGAAAGTGATGCAGATGCCGTGCCAGGCAGAGTTTCTACTCTATGCATACCTGTGTCTCCAGGCCCGAGGGGGCCTCGTTGCCGGGGCAATCAGGATGTTCCTTGGTGTTGACCTGCTTTGCGTCGGGGTCTTCTAACTTGGCGCGGCAGATAGCCTCAGCCACTGCGGCACTTTTGTACTTCTCCTGAATTTGCCCCTTTGTTAACCATACTCTTGCTCCATGCTGCGAAGTTGTAGAGCGCTCCTTGAACCGCTTGTAAAGGCTACTCTTCTTCCACTCCCCTGCACATGAAATCCACTCGTCCAATAGAAGATTCAGCTTCTCTGTGCCTCAATGGAGACAATGGAATCCCATGCACCCTGGTGGTCATAACTGAATCAGTTCAGGCTCAATTTGCATGTTTGTTTGTAAATCAGCTGATTCTATGTGTAACCGATTGTGGTTCTTCCTCATCAACACCAAGAGATATGGCACAATCAAATCAAAGCCATCCTTTGCAATCTTAATCAAACATTATACATGGAAGGGACTATGATTTCATGAACACATCATAATAATCCAAGGCACACCTGAAGGCATTGGTGCCAGCCTTGCGAATTTCCACTGGTGTCGATGGTCCTGGGCCATGGTGGGTTGGCGATTTGGTGTATCCCAAGAAACATAGTAAGTAGTATTCCTCAGATACTTATGTTGATCCTTTACAGGGTTATATATAGATAGACAATGATAGACACAACAATATTGTTTGTCACTCTATGATATCATTTTTTATAATAATGGAACGTGTTTTTTTTAACCCCTGGGACCAAGTTGACTGTATTGCTGATACCAACCATGAACCCATTGAAGAAAACTATATCCTCACATTAAACAAATTATCATCACCACAAAAAACAAAGCAAAACACTGATTTATTAAGTGGTGGGAAGGAAATAGATCAGGCTGGGATTTGTAAACCATATGATACCAGTTAATTTTCCAGCACGTTCAAAATGGGAAAGAAGGGAAATAATAAGAACCGACCTCCACATTGGGTATACACATTCAACTAATGTGTCAAAACCACTTTCACTCTAATGCAATGAACCGACCACCCAGGATAACAATGTTGAACAGGGCACAGGAAGTTATATAATAGTTGTTTGTTATTTTGAACAATCATGATAGTAAAAAGATAATCAAAACACCATGCATATCAGTAGTAAACTACATATGTGTCGAAACACATCATATACAACAATCAAACACACTACATTAGTACATACGAGTGTTACAGAAATGAATGAACCAACTAATATAGGAAGAATCTTATCTAATATGTGTTGAACGTTGTTAGTTTTGTTTATTTTTGTTAATAATTTGTTGAACTTGAGACAAGTATCGCTTCAAGCTTCGGCTAAACTTCATGTAGCGTGCGTGGAGGGCCTTTTCAGCCGGTGTCTTTTCTCTTCTCTTCTTCTTCGTCTTCGGGGACTGAGTGGAAGTGGGAGTGACTTGCTGGCTGTCGCTCTTCGGTTGGGACTCACCGGGCTGAGTGGCATCTGGCTCACTGCCTTCCACTTCCTTGTCTAGCTCATCTTCAAGGTCACCAGATTCCTCAGACTCCTCCTCATCATCAGATTGGTCAGCACCTTCCTTGTGTTCATCACCTTCTTTCTGATGGTCACTCTCTTGCAAAGGCACTGCTCCATTGGGTGCAGCGGGTGCGGGGGATGGTGCATACTGGGATGCAGTGCTGGATCTGTGCAGATTGTTGAGTTGTGTGGCTGCCCTTTCATCCCTGGTCATAGTCGATTCATTGAACTCAGGCACTGCGGGTGCAGGGCTGTTGGAAGTTTTGACTTCTTGCTCAACCTTGCTACGTACATAGGGAGGCTTTGCAGCAGCTTTCTTGGCGGCAGGCTTCACCATAGAGTCACCAGCACGGACAGGGGCTCGGGCACTGGCCTCGGAGGAGGTTGCCGCTGCTGGTGCTTCTCTTGTGTCACCACCAAGATTCTCCACATGCTCCATAAGCTCACGGTCTGCCTGTGTCAAAGCTGCTTCCGGGTGCATGGTTGCTGGCTGCGAAGGGGCGGCGGATGTGGGTGCTTCAGTAGCCGACACAGCTGGTGGCTTGATGTTCTGCTGCGGGGTTGGAGTCGGCCTGGTTCCACATTCGTTCTTGTCAGCCTTTGCCTTTTTACTTTTCTTTCCCTTCTTCTTTCTCTTCTTATCTTTCTTTGTCTTGCATGTCTCAGGCTGTGACCCTGTTGGTGCTGCAGAACTTGGTGTTGGTTCTGTGTCTTCAGTGGTCGTATCAGTGGTCTTGGCAGGGACAGGTGCTGCATCCAGGGGCTGCTTTGGCGTGCTGGACTTTCTAATCTTGTTTTCTGGTGTCTTGAGAACCGGAATACTGTTGACACGAAGCACTTTTGGGCGTGAAGCGGATGGCCCCTCATCTACCCCCATCTCTGCATCCCGTTTCCGAACCTCAGCTGTGCCTCTACGAGCATTGTCCAAAGCTTCTTGGTCATCTCCAGGGATAGTTGTTGCCGTACTGGCTCCTCCTGCCATAGTTGGTGTGTTGTGGTCATGTACTTTTTTAAATTGACGATCTGGTTCATTTGTGGGGTGTTGGAATTGAAATAGGCATAATTTACCACAATAACAAGGATGTGCATTGACAGTCAAACTCATTGCAATTGATTAACAACATTATAAGATCGATATATAGCATCGTTGTTTTTTTTTGATAATTGGATATCCAACTTAAAATAAATGAGTTGGGCAATATGATCCAGGATTCAGCCCATCAAAGGACATTGTGAAGAATCATACTTCGGTGCTGAACTATTCATTAAACATCCGTTGTTGGACCCATGGGATTATAGGCATATTTAAACTACAATGAATAATATTCATCCATATGGAATTTGTCACCAGGGGAGTCAGGAAACGATCGCAAACAATCTGACACCATATACCCATCAAACTAACTAAATTATTTTGACCGATAGGGCTAAATCCGAAATCAAAAACAATTTTGGTTGAATGAAGTTTGAGACCCATTCAAACATATAAGACATAATGGTCACACACAACTTCAAACAGAAAGCTGTGTGAAGTTGATACCAAAGCCCATCATAGCATGGTGTAATATTGGCATGAAAAACTAAAATTATTCCATGCTACATATGCACATGCCCACATAGACTGGTGAAATTTGAATCATAGCATTAATTGAGTGTTCTCAAATATATTATAATATATTATATTATATATATAATATAATATATTATATTCATTGAATTGCAAACCGCAAGTCGTTTCCATCACTGATAGTGCTGAGAATGACAGCTGGCACCCCGAAGCAACCCAATAGCCAGTTCACCGTCTTGCACAGTTACGCCGCAGTGGTGTTGTGATCCTGGTGGATGGTTAATTGAACTATCTGATTTGACATACATAGTTTCATTTACATATACAACATGTATAGTGGTATGGACAAAATCAAGTATCGGTTTTAGTGAGTTTCAAATGGTTTGCACGCAAGTGCAACAAGATGATGCCATTTAAACAAAGAAAGCTATCTTGTACCTATATATATAGCAGTGTGAACAAAAAACATAATTAATGTTACGAACAGCATATGAGGCACATCATGGCTTCCGATCGAATTATATTATATCGTATATTCTATGTGCATGTTTATTATTTGTATATTATTTTTAAATTTATATAATATAGTACTACTATAATTATTAAACAATGTAATACATATATAATATATTATATATAAGTTATATAAATTATAATATAATTACTAAATAATATGATATCTGATGTTGGGAAACCACAAAATACCCCTTGCCCCATGGCACACAGGCTGTTCAAAGAAGTCCTGCAGAAGACGGCGTTGCAGGCAAGGCCGCATGGCTTTCGGGGGGGGTTGAGGACCCAGTCTTCACCTTCTTCTTCTTCTTCGTTGGTGGCTGGTTGACACCCGTGGTGTCATCCAACGCAAGTCGATCCTCCAACCTTGTGAGAGGTGCCCAAATCAGAAATTGCAATAACAATGTTGTATTTTTTATTATCTATTTCAGAGTGGGATATGCAGAATATAATAGATATAATACAATATATATATTGTATTAATAATATATAAATTATTAAATTATATATGAATTCATGAAGTCTGTTGAGGGTAGGTATCAAACTCTCATGTTCAAGTTTAGGCATGTGACAGGACTGAAACCCACGGTACATGTTCTTCAAAGAGTTCATAGCCCACGAATCGTTCAACAGTATCTTTGGCAATCTCTAGTTCCACTCGCCTTTGTGCCCTGTTGGCAGCACGGGCAAGAGCCTCACTTGCCGTCACAGCCATGGTCTGTGATGGCACTGCCAAGCACTGGTGATGCTACCTGTAATCCCAAATGGCAATTCATTCCACAAATCCCACAAAGTATGCTCAATTTTGCAAAGTAGCACCAACAGTGATTATAAAAGAATGAGCATTTTTGGGCTAATGTCGTTCACGCAAAATAATAGGCGTTCACGCAAAATAATAGTCGTTCACGCAGCGTTCACGCTCGTTCACGCGCGTTCACGCTCCACTTTTTTTGGAACCCAAAATTGCAAAAAAACACTACTTTGGTGGATCACCATTTGTTCATTAGGCAAAACAGCTCCAACTACCACCCACCATATCCATCCATCAGCATTTTCCCTTTCATGGATGATGTCGCCCCTGTCAGGCTTGCAAAAGGCCACAGACATCTCTGGCAGGCTCTGGATGTGGCAGCCATAGTTGAATTGAATGGGTCTATGGGAGAAACATTATGGATTGTTTTTTATCATCCTAACTATCCACGACAATAACAAACACTTATCCACAAATGATCCACGAATGATCCACGAATGATCCACGAATGTTCACAATACTGATCCACGGATATCCACAAATGGAATTCCGAACCTTTTTTAAATTTAGCTAATCCCACATAACCCAAATTAGCTAGCCAATGGCAGTGCTTCTGGAAGTTTCCAGTAGCATATATTTCAAATTGAATGGCTATGTAGAACACGCCAAGGTGCATTTTTAAAAGGTTTTAACCTGTTTTTTTGGTGATGTCCTAATCACCTAGCCCCGTGTCATACAGGGGTACATAGGCACCACTTTGGGCTTCCATACGCAACTGTGGTTTGAGATCAGAGAAGCAGGCATGACGCCAGCGGTAGGGCGCCTGCAGCAATTCTAGAGATGCTTGATCTGGGGGAACACATGTTGGATAAGTGTATTGGACCCTATATCGAAACTTTATTGTTCTATATCATGATGTTTCCTATGGTTGGAGATAGTGTCTTTTTTTTTTTGAAATGCAGTACTTAGCAATTAGAGTACCAGGTACCAGTCTCACTTACAAGTGGGCAAACACACACACACATAGGCATAAATGAAATACACATACAGTTTTCTGGGCATCAAGTTTCTACTATATTTGCTTTATGTTTGATTATATGACCAATATAAATAGCAATATTGTATAATCTATGGTGATGTTGCTTTATGCTTGATATAATATATTTTTCAAATACAATAGATAATCAATTAATATATTATATGTTGTTTACTATAGATGACCAAAATGCCATAACTAGTAAACAATTGAACACATGTCATTGTGGAAAGATATTTCAATTTAATATAGTATATAATATAATATATTATATATTTTTTTAATAATATAATATAATATAAAATATTATATTATATTGTATTATTATTATATATTATATCATATATATATATATAATATGCATTGCATTATAATATAAAATAATTGATATGTATATTTTATTATGTGTGTGTGTCATTGTATTCAATTTGCTTACAATGATATTTATACGGAATCATATAAATAATATATAATATAATATATATATATAATTCGTATTATAGTATATATAATATACAAACATCACTACAACCCACTAATCTAATACGCGGTGATATCACATCATACTGCATCCATACACCCCATATATGGTTGCAGGGTATGTTTCAGGTTTGCAAATAGAAACTCAGTTACCACTGACTAGTGACTAGGCAGAAACATTGACATGTGGTCCTACTGCCAGGGGAAGAGGCTGGATTATAGCACCTTGCCTTTTCCAGGCCACAAGGGAATGGGTTGGGAATGGGAGAGCCTCTGTGGACCCAAAACCAGCCTTGAAGGCTTGGAGAGGCTCCACAAGCTTCTTCGTGGGTCCCGGTGCAGCCTCGGCAAGATCAGCAAGAAACACACATAATATACTGCATAGCTAATATTTATTATATATATTATATATATATATTATAAATATGAAATTTAGAATAATGACACCACAAGAATATCATATACTGTACAACATATGATTATTTACATGCCGTATGATATGGTTTGTGCAGTGAAGCTATATAATATATAATAGTATCTCTCAAAATAGTTTAGTGCATGAGATACATATAAAGTAACACATTGGCATGGCATATCTATTTCAAAATGTCTTGTCTTTTGAATACACATTTCAGGGTTGACTTTGATAAACAATTATTACTAGACAAGAAGCACCATTTACTCTGAATTAAGCAACCAATCATATAATGTATGCCATTTGGGATTTGATCACTGTATTGATACGCATCTCATGGAGTACAATACATTCTATATTACCAAAAATACCTTTACTACAATATACCAACATATTTTACATATTTCGTTATTACAGATGTGTTTCTTATCAACGTGACCAAACTAAATCCTAGTATGATATGATATTTTTTGTAGAAGCTATTTTTATGTCTCTGCTATACAGGACATGAGATCAAATTGCCACATTTGCTCACATCCACTGGGGTCATGACCATAAAAGAAAGGTGTTTCTTGGCAAGTGCCTCTGCAAAAGGGCGTGGATAGGCAGCACTCTTCCGCATTCCCGTCGAACCAGTCCTGAGCAAGCATGTTCACAAAATGGCATCTATTGTAATTGTGATTCTGGGAGTGAATATTGATTGTGATAATATTGGCAGGCAATATCTATTTTAGTTCATAGTCGTAAGCCAGATACTCCCAAATTGCATTGAAGAAAACAAAACAACTTCTTCACAACAAGGTACACTTGAACTCGTCCAGATTTCGAAATGGACTTACGAACCATTTGATGCTTCTTGATGGCCTTGTTTTTCTGAATTCGACGGTGGTCACGTTTCGTAAGTCTCCGCTTGAAGTCAGTCAAATAGCTCCTGAGCAGAGTAAGATTGTATCCGATTCCAGCGGTCAGTTTGGAAAACAAGGCTAGTATACAAAAAAATGCTGGCAAACAAAGCTAAGGTTGTTTGTTGTTGCAGGCAAGAAGCACTGTTCCAAAGCACACAGTAGGTTTTTGATTCGCATGTCCCCATGCTCCCAAGGGACTCAGCAGCAGGCAGAGGTGAAACAAGCAAAAATGGACGTGAGACTCAGTCCAACAGAAACAACTCAGAAAACTTTGCACTCTTACATAAGAGGATATAAGAGGTGTATCTTTGAGAACCCCACAATCGGGCGTAGGCCCAGCGAAGAGGTTGAATCACCAAGGCCAGAAATTGGACATAGGGGCAATGGACCATTAGAGATGACCCCGGCTGCTCCACCAGAACCTCACATCCTCTGCAAATGGCCACCAAAGCCAATACAAAGAGGCGGCATGTGATCCTTGGGCAATGAGACCACTGACTCCAAGAAGTCAACAGGTTACACGCAAAAGCATGCACAAAACACTGCATGATATGCTGCATATTAATATATATAATATACAAAAACATATCATATTAGATACGATATATGTTATAAACTATTATATTAGTTTATATTATATTTCGTAATATAACATAATATCATATAATATAGTATAATGTAATATAATATAATATAATATATAATATAATTTAATATAATATATATAATATAATATATATTTTATATTATGTTATATTATATTAAATTATATTATGTTATATTATATTATTATATTATATTATATTATATATATATTATTATATTGTATATATTAGATATTTTTTTAATTTTATATTATATTTATTATATTATATTATATTATATTATATATATTTATTATATTATAATATATATTATATATTATATTATAATATATTATTATATATATTATATTATTTATTATATTATTATATTACATTATATTATATTATATTATATTATATTATATTATATTATATATTGTATAATATTATATTATTACATTATATTATCTACAATATTTAATATCATCACAAAATGGACCCTCTCAAGTTCTGTTCAATGCCCCGTTAATGTATTTCCAAGAAGAATGGATAACTAGTAGAGTATATCATGAGGATTCTGATGCCAATATTTTTTTTTCGGTTGATTCTTTGCTTCATGCCCCATATGAAAACAACCTCATGTGCAGAAAGGGATCGAATTTGCATCCCGGACATATTGCCGAAATGAGTTGCCAAATAGCTTTTGTTTGGAGCGACCACTCGTGGATCGATTGACCCAGACCCAGCTCCCACACGGAGGTCCAGCCATAAGCAAAGCCTTTTCCTTCAATTTCAAGACTTTTGTCATGATGGCTCTGAAGCCCAGCCTCAGTCCGACTGAATGAATTAGACTTCAATTTATAAATAAATATAATCTAGATCATTCAGATGCATGATTATCTGAGCTGTATGTACTAGTATGTAGTGTATACTAGTATCTAGTATATTTCTGGATTACAACCCCCTGGAATGACGGTAGATATTATATCGCTTACTATCAAAAGCAGATGAAACTGAGGCAGTCACGGATCCAGTATGTCCCCACTTGAACCTTGAGTCTCCACATCGAAGAAGTCCCTTGGGAGGCCATCAGTGGCTTGTGGATCTGGAAGTCGATTTGGAAGTGCAGATCTCAACATGGGAAGTAGGGGTGTTTGTGGGTAAGAGGCGTATGGAAAAGGAATGAATATAAGTAATAACCATAAGCAAGTTTCCATATTGACTTTTACCAGCAAAAGTTTAAGTTCTAGTATTTGATTCTCCCTCTCTATCATGCCCATGCATGTGACCCAAGGGAGGAATAGATGGATGTTTGACATTTATTGGGTCCTTAGATTAAAGTTCCACCCAGGGCAAATTAGGTTCAATTGGCTTGACATTAAGCATTCCAGGGGATCATAGCTTGGGATTTAACAGTTTCATTAATAGCAATTTTGCTGTGATGTGGGGATTTTGAATCGTTATACCACCAAATTTCAAGCATGTGAATCCTGACGAACTTCACAGCCACCATATGCTTAAACTGGGGGCCCACACGCCTTTGCCTTATGACGACCTTTGCAGACCAGCTGAAAGATAGACGATTCATGTCTAGCACATGGATTGCTATAATACATGTGATTTCAATCCTAGATGTTTGGGTCATGTTGTAATCAAAGTCTTGTAGTTCTTTCAACAGACAAGTCAACTTGTTTGATCAAACAAAAAGTGTTTTTGATAATGATTGTTTATTTGAATTCCATGGATCCATACCATGTATGGGTGTGACGCATATCTGACTCAAACATGTTCTTGCAGTAATGATGAAACGCCAGACCAAATCTAGTAACTAATAGTATACTAGGTAATTAATTAAACCAATTAATTGATGCGTACATTCCATGTCATATAGATGTTTGTCCAACACAAGGCATTGGTCAAGTCAATTTCCATGGCATATCCCTTGTCAGTCAAAGCATGTGTATAGTAGTGTTTGCAAGTCAGCTTCTACAATGATCAGAATACAGAGATGCAGTCAGTTCCACGACCATCATCTTTCTCAAACCATAGCAAGCTGATCATGATGATCAACCAGGTCAGTATTTTAATGGGGTCCCAGAGTCTATCACTTCAAAACCCAGGGTTCCACACGGAATGCTTTGGTTACTTCACCTTGTCCACTAAAGGCATCCAAAACGTCCAAGTCCTGGCGACTGGCCGGGGTGCCATATGTCAGTTGGGCAGGAATGGCAGGCACTAAAAAATGGTATTGGGCAGGACAGATTTTGTAGGTGCAATCATCATCATATACATCTTTGTTTTGACTGTTTAAAGTTGCCAAATCTAACTTGCACATTGCAGTCTTTGAAAGAAACCAAAAGCTTTCTTACTCAGGGAAGATGTTCTCAACAAGTAGATTGAATTATGAATGTGGCTGCGGCTAAGTCAAACACATGATATATGGCAAAATCGCCATAAGGGGTACGCAATCAAACACTTTCAACTTGCATTCTTTAACACAAAAAACTGAATTTAATGTGATTGATATAATTGATTCCAACCCAAACCCCAAACCTAACATTACCATTTTGGGTTTTGAAGGTCTATAATTGTGTATCTAGTCTGGCACGCTACCACTGCCCACTTCACACCTGGACCAGGAGCAATTTTATTTTTTCAAAAGAGAACTGACCAAAACAGAAACTTCATGTTGCTTTCTGAGATCCTGGCACGGAAGCTTTCCTCAACTGGTGTTTGCTGGGCAATGCTGTCACAAAGATGCAACCTGGGAGCAGGAGTGCCAATAGGATTTCAACATAGCTGGCTCTTCCAGATCAGACGTAGTTCTGTAGCAGTTTAACCCCTCAACCGATATATGATGATAATATAAATTTTGTTGGAGGTACAGCATGCAATACATGTGGGAGTACCAACTATTTTGCGTAAGACAACATCAATTTATGCAATTCTATGTGTGATTAGCATCATCAAAGTGTGATGGCCACCTTGCCACAACCATTCCCATTCTACTCAGACAAAAATCATATGCTGAAAAGCAACACCAGTAGTGGAACTCCAAAGCTTAGTAGTAGGTTGGACGTTCGACGACTCAAAGCAAGGGGAGAAGTAGTCCATGGCCTCCCACCCTGACCTGTGTTTCTGGCCATTGGTGTCACTACAGTTCCCAGTTCCTGAGGCACCAAACCTATGTATGACACTGAGCGTTCACTGGCTGCAGGGGGTGACCACATGCATTTTGGAAGGAACCCAGCAAACAGAAAATTGTAGCAATGGTTGTGTTGTGTCTTTGGGATGTACCTATATATATATATATACCACTTGTGACCAGACAACACAAACACTGCAAACTAGACAGGGTTCTAAGCAAGAGTACATCGAGTTGTTAGTTCTTGTTATAGTATGATCATATCATGTATTACGTGCTTTTTGTTTTACTGTGTGTTCTAGCTTAGCCTGTTAGTTCATGATAGCTAGCACAATTAGAAACTCTGTTGATTGATCTTGAAGGTCAGCCCTGAATGTGGCAAGGTCAAATGCACACCACGTGATTTTTTTGGATCGTCAGGCTTCTTAAGCTCAAGTATTGATGATCGCAGCTTCATGACATAATGTCATCAACATGTCGACTCCCTCAGACAGGCGCACATGCTTTGTACCAGGTCCCATGGCCAGTTGCAATTTCCACTGTGTTATGTCCAATGTAATTCCAGGTGAGCTAGACGCCCAGTCAACATTAGGCCCTGTAATATGTACTTGTTTCATGAACTGAATATTTGGTGTTGAACAATAATTTTTAGGAAAAACATGTTTTTCCTTTGATGGTGATACTGATCATACTTGTGCATTGGTACAGTGCAAGGGAAGTAAAGAAATTTTAGACCAATCCTATCGAATTCCCTTCAAACTGCAACCACTAAGCAAATCCAGCGTTGGACACTGAGGCTATCTATATGCCAATCAGTGGGCTTTGGACACCATGGCCAGGACACCGATGCTGCAGCATTGTGGCACACAGAACCCCCAAATGTGAAGCCAACTGTTTGTTTGCCTTTGCTAGTCTGATCAAAAAATAAATCAATTGGTTACAATAATTTCTAATGCTTCTGTTGTATTCTTTCATAGTACAGACAGCTGAGTAAACATGTGATCTTCAATGCACAATTGGCATTCTAAATTGGCTTCACCCAAAATGTACGAAAAGCCTGGGTGATAATATTGATCCAAAACCCGCACCAAAAAGCCAGGAGCTGCCGATACCTGTTGCCACAAATAGCCACGAACCATATTCATGAGTGATCAGTTGAATTTATATCGATATTATTGTTTTAACCATCAGACTCAGCAACTCTACTAGGGCCAGTGCATTCGCGGGAGTGAGAACTAGATTTTCATGGGTCAGCTGGTGTACCCGGGCTGGAAGGCCAGCCTGCCAGGGCCTTTGCCACATTCCACCTGAAAGGGCCAGGAAACGGGATCTTAAACCAATTAGTTTATAGTAACATTGCTTAAAACCTCTCTGCCACCTTTACTGGTACAATGATTCTTTTGTGTTGTGTTTGCAACTGTGACATGTCAATTTTGTGGAACAACCCTCCTGTATGCATAGTTGAACATATATAATGCAATATAATTACATTGTAAAATATAACTATATATATTATATTATATTATATTATATATATATGATGTACAGAACATACCAAACACATTCTCCCCACAGCTGTGGTCGGTTGGTTTCCTATTTGGTCAATTGATATGGTGATCCATACTGTTGTTCTTTCAGATGATCAAATACTCGTCTCACTTGAAATTATGTTCTTTCCATATCAGATATCAGCTTGAATAGCAGGGCCCATTGTCCCAAAAATTGTATCAGTCACTGCTTGATGTTTGGAGGGGGATAGACTCACCGGGAGATTGATGTTGTTTGTTTGGTTGCATTCTCTCACAAGCAAGATTTCCAACAAAAATGCATGAATAAAGAAGCAGTGAAAACTTGGTTGTAACCCACAACTCTTGGTTCTTGCCACTCCAGTCTAAGGCCATAGCGCTGCATGACAACCACCATTGGTTGACCAGGTCAGTGTTATTCCCTTCTTCAGAGCCTTGATGGCCGGAAAATTCAAAACCAAACAAACATATTTCCCAGTAATAGAGCCCTACTACAACATGAATTAAAACCATACACCCTCAAACATTTCAACACCGAACTTGTTTTTTTGCATCTCACTGAGAGGTATGTCACATACTCTAGATTTTTGAAAACATCGCATCATGGAAGAGCAGCACATGTACAACACATATCTGTGTCGGCTGTGTGTTTGAAGAGTGTTTGCTATCAATGCATATATATATATATTATTATATATATATATATTGAATTACTTTACCACTAGCGAGTATTGTGCAGCACTGGGCTAAGAAATTATCCAATCAATTTGCAGGCTTCCCGAATGTTTACGGACACTCTGTGAACCCACCAGTCCTTGTATGTTGTGGTATGCTTCTCATTGAACTCCATCACTCTTCCGTCCAGTCCCGGTGTCTTTGCCACTTGGAAGGACGATGATGCACTGCGCGCATTGATCAGCCTCAGAAGATTGAGCAGGTGCAGTGGACTGATGATGGCTTGCTCAGATAGGGTTTGCAAGGGCATTTTAGTTAATGATATATATCGATAGACAAGTCTGCAACACAACTCTTGAAAATCATGCTCCGAGGTCTATATACATGATATAATATGATAGACTTCAGAATAGGTGAACAGATCCAGAGCACATCACTCATCTTGGTCACATGTGAATTTATTTATATATAATTTCATCAGTTCATGACATAGTTTCAGATGGTCCCCAATGTCTTCATACCGAGGCCCTGACAACCTAAGAACCCCGCACTACTCCGATGTTTGAAGCATCTTTCCCTTCTTGCACAGCAGCCTCTGGTTTGCCAATCGTAAATGACCTTGCGAGATGATGGCTCATTCTTGGAAATGCCTTGTGGTTCACACTTTTCTGAACCTACAAATGATAAACGTTTGTTGCACTCAACTGCATTTTCTGAATTAGTAACCTTGCAAGGATTGTTTTGCTTAATTGACATCAGCATGACAACCAAGTCTTTTGGATGTAAGCCCAAACCTTTTACATTGCAGTCCGTGTGACATATTACAGTGGCAAATCTGTTGGAATCAATTCCAAATGTGTTTCTAAGTCGGGTACTTGGCATCATTCAGAGATTCTGGTAGCTTCATGAACTCATCCTTCTCTGCAATGGCAATGAGCTCTTTCCACCGTTTATCCTGGATGCACATCCCTAAGATCCAAGAATGCATATGGTACATTCATTGAATTTGGTTCTTAAACATATGTCAATAAACAAATTGACAAATGGTCAAAAGATGTCAAAGGTCAAGTTTTCGACCCAGGGTTTATAGTATTGACAATGGTTTTGAACGTTTGTGGTCACTGGAAGATAGTCATTGAAATGCTGTTGCAAAAAATCTATAAGATAACATAATACTTTATTTATAATTTCACAATATATTTTTATGATCAATACCTAACACCTATTTATACTATTATCTTAAAACCCCGCAACCATTGGCCAAATATGAAAGGATATATCAGTCAGAGTAGTTACCAGATCAGGTCTAAAAGCTAGGCCCCACCCACAGCAATCTACAATGAGCATGGCTCCTTGATTGCCCTTTCTTTTTCCTTCTGTTCAGCACCTTTGTCTTCACCTGGCTCATCACCTGGTTCAGCATCATTGTTTGCCTTGCTGTCTTTCTTTCTCTTGGTTGGCTCAGTTTCTCTTTCCTTGGACTTACCCTTCTTACTGGGTTTCTTTGGTGAAGTGTTATTTCTCTTCCTGGGTTTCTTGTTCTCTGGCTCTGTACCACCCGATGGAAGCTCCAACACAGTCTCGGGTGGCTGACCCTCAGCCTGAGATGCTCCAGCATCCTCTGCATTCGCTGGCTCAGGCTCAGCACTGGTGCATACCATCCTTTTGGCATGTCGAGGACTGCGAGACATTGCGCGAAGCTTGCCCAGTTTTGATTTTTTTCGTTTTATGTGCACTCGTTTCCTCGGGCTGGGCATCACCTCCATTGAAGTGGGAGAAGGAGCATTGGCATCACCATCAACACAGGCAACATCTGGTTCATTGGAACTGCCATGTTTGTCATGCTCAGCTGATTCATCATGAGCTGATTCCTTTGCCACATGCTCTTCAGTAAGCTCATCATCTGGTGGATTACCACTGTCAGCAGAATCTGCAGTATTCTTGTCACCTTTACCTCGGCCCCTGCCACGACCCTTTCTGCCACCTTTGCCACCACTACGGCCTTTGCCTCGACCCCTTGCCCTACCCCGTCCCCGCCCGGGAGCACAACCCTCTCTCTCTGCATCTTCAAGTTCTCCTTGCAAATCCTTGTCAGGATCCTCTGCCTCCTTTTGCATTTGACGAAGAGCAGCCCGGGCCTCATGAATGGTCAGAGGCACAGTATTGGCGGAATAGATCTCAATGCCCCCATAAAAAACTGGATCAACATTGATGAAAGTACATTTTTTTTTGGCATCAAAATGATGCATGTTATATGTGCAATTTACAAGAATATCCTTGACCTACAACATTTGTGCTTGAAAAATCATACTAGTGTCAGACCATACACTACTTGTTACTACTGAATTCTTTTGGACATCACTAGTGCTTGGATGATATTTTGGCAACGCTGGGGCTATCCAGAGTCCCTCGCTGAACAAAAAACACTGATTATAAAATTTGACAATGTACCAGAGCCCAAACAAAGGATTGATTCAATATGTTTGGTTGGGCCTTCCGGATCTCTGATTCATGCATTGCAAGGTTGGGATCACTCTCAAGGGCTTTCATTTGGGCTTCCGCTTGTTCTGCCAGGGTCTGCGGGATCTCCAAGGGTGTAGTCAAAGGTTTCCGGTCCTGGTGGCAAATTGAAATAAGGTTGCACATACAATAGTCATCAGCTATGTGAAAAAACCATGTGCACAGCTAGGATTTGACGCGGTTTCAAAAACAACCAAACACACAGCATGATAGGCTGTCAAATGACTAGCACGCGTATTTAATATATCAACTTATATTATTATTATTATATTATTTTATTCGTGTGTTATTATAATATATTTATAATTACATATTATATTATATATGGCTAGTCTGATATGTGGACCCCACAAATCCAATGTCTAAGTCCAACAAAATTAAACAGACACTGGTTGATGCATCTTGATTCAGTGACTCGGCTTTCCCAATTCTGTTGAAACTTTATGCATAAAGCCATTTAATATATCATGGGGATCAATAATATCTTAATTTTCATTTGTTTCGGACATGACATTTATGGTCAAGTCAAGAAGGTCGCAAACAAAATAACTGTCCTTGAAGACTCCTTTTTGTGTAGATTCACCACCTTCTACCTCCTCATCTGAAATGATGGTTGCCTGGTACGCATCACCTTCCATAAAGTCACCAGGCACTTGTGAATCCTGGATCTCAGGACTGAAAGCCTTTGAAGGGCCCAGGCTCTCCACAAGAATTGGAGGCGCTATGGCTGGGGCTGCAGAATACCCATGGGGCGCCGTAGCAGGATGGATGTCAGCTTCCTTCTCAGGTTTTTTTGGTGACAAGATAGTTTCTTCATCACTCTCCAAGTCGATGACATACGGAACATGACATTCAACTGGCTCAACAGATTCATCGCTTGTTGAACCCTCTTCTTCTGCTGATTCTGATGACCCACTTGAATCACTTTCATCATCCAAAGGATTTGTTCTTTTCAGGGGACCCATGGAATCATCAACATTCTCCAATGGCTGCATTTGGCGAACCGGCGAAAGCTGATCTTGGATCATGGTGTCCGTCAACTCCATGGGTTGCGTCTCTGCAGTGTCTGTTGCTGCAGGGATGGCAGCCTCAACGGATGTTCAAAGGGCAAAACAAACCAGAAATCCAAGCAACTAATACAGCAATCCCATGCAATTCCTCAATAAACACATAAATACACCAAACAGATTATTTGGCTGGTTCCAATCCAAACAACATGAATCCAAACATCTATTTATGGCACACTCACTTGGCACCTTCTCCACCTTCATTTTTTTTGCACCAGTGCCCCTGGTGGGAATCTTTTTCCCGTCAGGAGACAGTTTCCCTTCTGCCTGGCCGAGCGGTGAGCAACACTGAGCCACGGCAACCAATGATGGCATGGGGGATATCCAGAAGGTAGAACAAACTAATGCAACACATAGTTTACATCGGTTAATTGATCCTGACAATGAATAAAATTATAACATTATATGATAATATTTTCATGTGACTAAATCAGTTGTATTGGCTTTGTATAATTCTGAAGATATCGGTTGCCATATTTCTACAGCAATGCATTGCAGCCACTTCTGCAAACAATCCTTTTGAACATCTCTGTGTGGTCATGGTTGTCATAGCTACAGTGTGGATGAGAACTCAGGGAGGATGTCAACCTTGATGATCTTGAGCAGTTCAAATCCAATTTGCAAATGGTTATTAGTTATCATGCTGACAAAATAGACCATTCAACTGCAAACCAAACTCATGTTCATTATCCAATGCCAGTCAATTGATCGATCCATGACTTTTTATTACACTATGGGTCACTATTACTGGTTGCCCATCAGACCAAGTCGATGGCACTGATACCAGCATAGCCCAGATTGCCCAACCATGGTTTCCACTCCTCAAGCTTGGAGCGAATCACTGAACGAAGCTGGTCCATACGTTGATGTCCTCTCCTGGCAGCAAGCGGCATGGCGTAGAATTGGCCCTTAGGCATTGGCATAGTGGTGTATCACATAAGCAAATCATATATTATATATATTATATATATATGTTTTAATGGGAACATTATATTATATAGTATACATTTTGACTGCAATTGATACAGCTTTAACACCACCATCAAATACCAAGTATCATATCATCCTGATACAAGTCGAATTCCTTGTGAAGGTTCTTGTCATAATTTGTTTGGTCAACGGAGCATGTAGAGCAAAATTCAGATGACATATAATTATCTCAAAAAAAAACTTGACTGGTGTCATTAAGAGACTAGATCAGAGATTAATGACTATTTCCATGTTCCAATGGAAAAGAGACACCAAATTCATATCCCCAATTCAGAACAGTATAGCCTGGCCTGGAACATGTATACCGCTGGAAACGGTCCATGCAGTAAGCGGCTGCACCCCTCAACAGCCCTCCTTCTGTTTGTGCCCAAGCCTGCGAGAGGGAGGCGGCACTGCTGCTATGAACTGGTTTGTTTGGTGTTTTATGATCCACAAAGTGCCATATCAAAAATGGTGCCAAACACATTAAATAAAGCAGCGCCTCATGAAAGATATGCTCTTTCCATGGGTTCAAGCGGTAGTGAAGAGAGGCCCAGGTCAATGCCTCCTGCGTGCATGGATGCTGTGCATATAATGTTGGCAGGGCAGACTTTTGGTAGGTTGAGGCTGAATCATGGAATGGAACCAGCAATCAATAACACTCTTCTTGTTACTTTGAGATCATGAAGCATACCATGAGCAGTTTCTTGGGGTAAACAAGTAAAAGGGTACGTAATAAATAATTTACTATTTATAAATTATAAATATAATATATAAATATTATTATGATACAAACTGTGCTTTGAATTCAAAGTAAGGCTGGGAAAAGATATAAAGATATTTCCATTTATTATATAACGCAAATTGGCATCATATAGTTTCCAGAGGTCTGTCCATCAGCCTCACCTTTCACCCAGCCTTCACTTCAACAGGCTGTGGCAAGTCATGCGCAAAGGATGCCAGGTACTGCAAGACAGTTGAGAAGTTCAGATCGCTTTCCACCTGCATGGCATGAACCATCCATTTTGCGGGTAAATTTCTCTATCATTTCATGTCATGTACTGTGTTGTTTGACTTGCTTCAGCCAGTTGCTGGATCAACCAACCCTTCGCGGCAAGAACCTGCTAAGAAAAAAAAGGCTCTTACAGATGAGAACACCCTCAGGATCCGGAAGCCTCTCGGCTGCTGATGCTCGCTTTCTTGGAATCCACCATGATGAACTCAAACTTGGGCACCTAGAGCTGGATCCCCTCTTGAGTGAATTTACATTTGACCAGAAATCTTCAGGGCATATACTATATATACACTATATTTTTATGCCTATCAAATATGTTTTTTTTTGTATAATAATATATAAGCTATCTATATATCTATATAATATATATATATGTCTTCTGCGACCATTGCAATAACTATTATAATGCACAGATAGAATTAAATTGTTATGTGCTACTGTTGTTTCCCATCGACCATTGATTGTTCCCCACTATCAGCTCAGAAGGGTCACTGAAAGTTTGGTTTGGATGATTTGGGCCACTTATTCTTTTCAATTCTTGCTTAAGCACATTTACATCATAACATTGCAAGGTTTGGGTGTCTATTGGCATGCTAAAAAAGTATGCACAGTAAAATGGGACACATGATGGAAGTTATCACTTTGCAAGGCCCTTTGGCCATGGCAATGCTGCAACATGTGCACGGCTATGACGTATGGTAGAAACAAAGAATGATTTTGAAAACAATACACAAGGCAACCTATTCACATATAGCATAAACATTCTGATTTTGTCAGGCCGTGCCACTAGATCAAGTGCGTGATTCATGGCAAGGAGTTCATGGATTAGGTACCCAATACACAAGGATTGGGCACTTCCAAACTTGCCACTCGAATCTGGGAAACCAACCTTCTTCCTGTCCTTGTCTGTCAGGCCAGCACGGTGACGAAGTAACTTCCGCCGTTCTGACAAAAAGTCTCCCTCTTCCAAGATGTCTGTCAAGAAGATCTGGCCCATGCAAAGCGCGGGTCAATATCACACATATATGGCAGTGTATATGCATGGTAAGGAAATGCACACTCACACCAAAGATCAAATTGATTTGTAATTTATTCATACTGCTCGTATGGGTGCCACTGTGAAAGGTTTCGATGTCTCTCATGACCATGGTTCCCATCCAAGTAGTGGATACGCAAAGCAGCAAAACAGGTTCTTGCCTTAACATGCTGGACACGAGCTGGGGAAACTTCTGGCGCTTTCTCCATGAGTAGCACAGAGCAGCTTTGGAAAGGAAACCCTGCATGTGAGAAACCATGAACACCCACAGTGCATATGTAAAATTCCGCCATTCAAAAGATACAGATATCAAGTTGTTAATAATATTATTATATTTTAACTAAATTATGATATACCTCATATTTGCTATTTACATCACCCTGAAACTATGTCCGCTTTTCGTTTTGAACCAAGACGGTTGAAAGATCGAGGACCTGGAGACTTAACCATTCATTCCTCTTCATCCTTTACAAATTTGCAACGACAAAACATGCATGCAGTTGTAATTCCCAGCTCCATGCAAGTCCTTCACTGTGAACACACGCATGGTCTAAACAGGTACCTTTGATAAAAGACATCTAGAAATTGCACAGGCAGCCCCTACTGAAAATTGGCAAAAGGGGGAGCGCACCATCTGAAAAGTCACTCTCGTCAAGGATGTTTTCGTTGGTTTCCGTCTCTAATGCACCTAAGTTGGCTGAATAAATAAATTGAAATTTCCACAATTGACAGCCAAAGCTGACAAATAAAATCAACAAAAAAATCAAACCACATATGCATTCATGCATGCATGCACACTCTTGGGTTGTGCCAAGTCCTGCACGTTGTCGAAAGGCACTTTTCATTGCCACAGCACGCTGCCATCATCATGCACACGAGCACAGGAATCTCAAACAATTCCAGTGCAAAATTAAATATGTGATGCACCTATTCCATGAGTGACCTGCCTAAAAGTCAAAACAGTAAGACGTTTCTGCCTTTGTAGGCCGCACTAGCTAGGTCATCAAACTTGTAGCCATGTGTTGTGCATATCAGCAAATATTCTTCACTTGTTGGCATGGTGATGGCATTAGATCACCAATGAGACTCATGTTGATTCACACTAGTTGTGTTCATCCAAAGTCTCGAGCCTGCTCATGACTTTGTTGAAGTCCGTTCTTGTCATTTTCCCAAGCAAAGGGCCAGACAAGCAGCCAAACAGACACCACAACCCCATGGAACCCTTGATTTTAGCTATATTATAGTCGCAGACTAGGAAATAATAGTCGATGGGAAAAGCCTATTATTAAAATAGTCGCGGAAGACTAGGGTATATATTTGATTATATTTGGATATATTTGGAGATTGTTATATTATAGGCAATACGTACATAGCAAGGAACATTCCTGGTGGAAAATTGTGGCGCCAATCAGGGGCATTCAACCATTCCTCCAAGGTCACCGACCCATTGTTGGGTCACCTTTTGGAGGGGCCCAGGGGCCCATTGCCGAAGCGGGCCTTATTTTTAGGCCATTTATGAGGTTTTTTTTTTCAAATAAACCAGCTGTAGAGGTATGGATAGTATATGAGTCGTGATTAATGGTGTATTAATGGCCATAAATGGATTTTTGGCAATTTATGAGGTATTTTTTCAAATAAACCAGCTGTAGAGGTATGGATAGCATATGAGTCGTGATTAATGGTGTATTAATGGTGTATTAATGGCCATAAATGGATTTTTGGCCATTTATGAGGTTTTTTTTTTCAAATAAACCAGCTGTAGAGGTATGGATAGTATATGAGTCGTGATTAATGGTGTATTAATGGTGTATTAATGGCCATAAATGGATTTTTGGCCATTTATGAGGTATTTTTTCAAATAAACCAGCTGTAGAGGTATGGATAGTATATGAGTCGTGATTAATGGTGTATTAATGGTGTATTAATGGCCATAAATGGATTTTTGGCCATTTATGAGGTATTTTTTCAAATAAACCAGCTGTAGAGGTATGGATAGTATATGAGTCGTGATTAATGGTGTATTAATGGTGTATTACCATAAATGGATTTTTGGCCATTTATGAGGTATTTTTTCAAATAAACCAGCTGTAGAGGTATGGATAGTATATGAGTCGTGATTAATGGTGTATTAATGGTGTATTACTGGCCATAAATGGATTTTTGGCCATTTATGAGGTATTTTTTCAAATAAACCAGCTGTAGAGGTATGGATAGTATATGAGTCGTGATTAATGGTGTATTAATGGTGTATTAATGGCCATAAATGGATTTTTGGCCATTTATGAGGTATTTTTTCAAATAAACCAGCTGTAGAGGTATGGATAGTATATGAGTCGTGATTAATGGTGTATTAATGGTGTATTAATGGCCATAAATGGATTTTTGGCCATTTATGAGGTATTTTTTCAAATAAACCAGCTGTAGAGGTATGGATAGTATATGAGTCGTGATTAATGGTGTATTAATGGTGTATTAATGGCCATAAATGGATTTTTGGCCATTTATGAGGTATTTTTTTCAAATAAACCAGCTGTAGAGGTATGGATAGTATATGAGTCGTGATTAATGGTGTATTAATGGCCATAAATGGATTTTTGGCCATTTATGAGGTATTTTTTCAAATAAACCAGCTGTAGAGGTATGGATAGTATATGAGTCGTGATTAATGGTGTATTAATGGTGTATTAATGGCCATAAATGGATTTTTGGCCATTTATGAGGTATTTTTTCAAATAAACCAGCTGTAGAGGTATGGATAGTATATGAGTCGTGATTAATGGTGTATTAATGGTGTATTAATGGCCATAAATGGATTTTTGGCCATTTATGAGGTATTTTTTTCAAATAAACCAGCTGTAGAGGTATGGATAGTATATGAGTCGTGATTAATGGTGTATTAATGGTGTATTAATGGCCATAAATGGATTTTTGGCCATTTATGAGGTATTTTTTCAAATAAACCAGCTGTAGAGGTATGGATAGTATATGAGTCGTGATTAATGGTGTATTAATGGTGTATTAATGGCCATAAATGGATTTTTGGCCATTTATGAGGTATTTTTTCAAATAAACCAGCTGTAGAGGTATGGATAGTATATGAGTCGTGATTAATGGTGTATTAATGGTGTATTAATGGCCATAAATGGATTTTTGGCCATTTATGAGGTGCTGTATTATCGTAAATGGCCAAATGGAATTTATGAGCTGTATATGGATAGTATATGAGTCGTGATTAATGGTGTATTAATGGTGTATTAATGGCCATAAATGGATTTTTGGCCATTTATGAGGTATTTTTTCAAATAAACCAGCTGTAGAGGTATGGATAGTATATTAGTCGTGATGAATGGTGTATTAATGGTGTATTAATGGCCATATATGGATTTTTGGCCATTTATGACTTCAGTTTTTGTTCAAATAAACCAGCTGTACATAGGTGTTTTTTGAGACCGAATTGCATGCCTTGTGTATAGATAGATATGGTCATGTATTATTTAATTGTATATATTGATTTTTATATATATCTTTATGATATAACTGTTATGCATGTGTCATCCCCCAAAATCACTGCATTCTATCAGGTGACCTTGACCACATCGACGAGACGTTATCTTTCGAGGAGCTGGGGGCTGAGATCCAGCTGACGCTCACCGAGGCACACAGCGACCTGCCGCCTCGAGAGGAGACGCATTGATGGGGCCCGACCTATGTGGTGCCTGCTTCCGGGTGTGGTTGTTGGTAATGCTATGCAACTCGAGATGCATCTATCATAAACCCTGTATATATTATATAATTATGTTATATATATATATAGATATAGTTTATAGCCATTAGAAACAACTTAACTAATGAACTGGGGTACCGCCATGTACGAAGCATCAACAGGGGATCAAATTGGTACCTGGAAATTCCGTTCCGAAAAGCCCTTGAGGAGTTGCTGGAATTGGCACTGTGCATCCAAAGTGCGCTGATTGACAAGGCATCTGACTTGGTGGCACCCTGGTGCGTCGGGAAACTGTTTTGGTGTTTTTCTTCACCAAAAATGGGACTGGTTTCTGAGAACCAAGCATTATGGAGATATAGAGTAATTTATCATTCATATACAGTAGTTGGGCTTGCTATGATTCGCTGCTTCATTTTTTCTCAGTGGTTTCTCCACCTTGAACTGCGAAATCATCTGGTTTTCAACACCAAGGAGCTTCGTTGGAGATCTCACAGTCCTGCAGGTTCACCTGATATCTTGGATCTGGTGAGGTGTATAGTTGAAGAACCCTGGTCTGAAGGATGTGAGACTTTGGCTGTGGTGTATCTGGAGCATCTCATTGCGGGCTTCCGGCAGCAACAAGTTGCACAGTTCGCGGCGGCTGACGTGCGTGGCGCATACGGGATGCCAAGAAGCGACCGCTACGTAGCGGTAGCAGCACTGGGGATTGTGGCATTACATGCCCTGGGGGCTGAGAACTGCTTGTTGCTGGCTGTTTATTGCAGATTTTCCATCCCCCCTGGGACGAGTATCCCAATATGATCACACTCTAGGAACAGGTCAGGTCAAGTTGAAAGGTGGAGAATTCTGGCTGCCATACTGCGAAAGAAATACTGCACCAGTTGGGAACTAGTGGTAACATCAACACTGTAAATAATGGGATGATAATAGGATGTTTCCCATCTACCAGCTGGTGCAGGATTTCTTCCACAGTATCTCAATTGATTGAGTTTTTTCCCCACCTGCCAGGTGAGGGTTGTTAGATTTTATGTCAGTTGCCTGGTCCTCCTCGTCCTCCTCCTTCTCCTCCTCCTCCTCCTCTCGTTGTCCTCCTCCTCGTCGTCCTCCTCGTCCTCCTCCTCGTCCTCCTCGTCCTCCTCCTGCTCCACTGCGATCCATGTCAGTGTGCCCTGCCGGACCTCAACCACGACCATCCACGTCAGTGTGCCCTGCCGGACCTCAACCACGACCATCCACGCCCAGTGTTCCCTGCCGGACCTCAACCACGTGTTCCCTGCCGGACCTCAACCACGACCATCCACGCCCAATGTTCCCTGCCGGACCTCAACCACGACCATCCTCGCCCAGTGTTCCCTGCCGGACCTCAACCGCGAGTATCCACGCCAAGTGTTCCCTGCCGGACCTCATGTAGGAAGATATGGGACAAAGAATGTGCAGAAGAAAGTTAGAAAGAATGTCAGAAAGAATGTCAGAGCCAGAAGATATGCCAGAAGATATGCCAGATAGAATGCCATGCCAGAAGATTTGCCAGATAGAATGCCAGAAGATATGCCAGAAGATATGCCAGATCATATGCCAGAAGATATGCCAGATAGAATGTCAAATAGAATGTCAGAAGATATGTCAGATAGAATGCCAGAAGATTTGCCAGTAAGAAAATGTATAAATGTCATGGTGGGGATCACACGAAGTAAAGTAATTTTCTTTTTGGAGCTGTGCTTCAGCCAGGTTACCCTTGCGCGTTTGTCGTGGCGTTTGCACGGATCCTTCTGTCCAGGAAGCGGCCAGACGTAAGCTGGAGGACCGGAGGGCCTTCCGATTCCTCACCTTTTCTGGCCGAAAAGTTGCTGGCATTGAAAGATGCCTTCAATGGGGATTTCATGGGTTTCATGATTTCATGGGGATATATTGGGGCTTTAACCATCTTAGAATCCAGTGATATATTGAGGTTCCTTAAGTGATGGGGGATCCCCAAGTCATCATGGTTGTTTCAATACTATATAAGTCATGGTCATCCATGACTTGGATGATTTGGGGGCTACCCCCATGACTTAGGAAGCCTCCATGTGGGGTTGTCCAGTGATTAGATCTATAACCAACCATCGTGATGATTTCATGATAATTCGTTGTGAATTGGAGGGGTTCGCGCTTCGGAGCAGCCTGGGTATCTTTGGTCCATGTCCATTCCCTAAATCGCGGTCGTTCATCCTGCAATCTGTTTGGGAGAGCCAGGGAATTGTCCAATGTCAAATATTTGGATTCATTTGGGAAGCCACAGGAAAGGTGTGCACATAGACTGCATAACGTATTTGGATGTGTGTAATGAATAGCATTTGTGTATATGCAGCGCGTAATGAAAGTATATATATAATACATAATGTGCATATACATATATATATATAGTAAAAGATAATATATATATATACTGTATATATATAGTAAATAATGTATATACATAAATAAATAAATAAATGACTAAATAAATGAATAACTAAATAAATGAATATATATATAATATACATATGTGCATGTATAGGTTTTCCTTTTTTGGAGACCCCTTCAGCAAATCCAGCCGTCAGGTTGTGGTCCGCGGCTTCAGATGTGCCTGGTCATGGCTCAAGCAACAGTCCCACGACAAGACCCGAGGAGAAGGGCTGCACCCGACAAGCGCGGCATACTTCAAGACGGTGGGCCAGGGGCCAGAGATGTATGTTTCTGGGCCAGACATGGTTAGTAAGGAGAATCATCCCTAATTTGCTATGTATATCAATCCAATATCTAATGATTATTGAATCCGTTGGCTAAGTCTCCATTACAATCCCATCCCCCCATTGTATGGTCCCAATGATGTGTTCTTCCCCTAACATCATGATTTCGTTTGGGGATTTTGAAAATACGAACGGGGAAGGGTGTCTGGTTTCCCAATGATTTGCTGATGGTGATTCTGCAACAGAGAAGATGTTTATTCGATGGGGACTCCGATTAATAATCCATTGTAAGCATCTTTCAGGGGGAAAAACAAAGCAGACACTTGAAGCTCCAAACATTTGATACATGGAGGTTTCCTAAAATATAATAGGTTTTTCCGTTATAAACCATCCATTTTGGGGATCCCCCATTTATGGAATCCCCCACATTTTGGCATTTCACCGAAGTTTTTTGGACCCTTTTTCCTCCCAAGATCTAAGGCCTTACTGGGCGAGCACGTCTACTACAATGACCTGGGGAAATGGCATCAGTACCGCTCTGCCACAGTGATATCCTGGGATGCTGTTGAAAACCCCAGTGGTTGAATCAATGGATTGGTTTGAGGGAAAATCTACACCGGAAACCATGGTTTTTACATGTTTTTACCATCAAATATAGGGGTTTAGTGTAATTTTTTTCCCATCATCCAATTCTATGGTTGAAGAGTCTGGGTCAGATTTAGCGAACCACAAGTTCTGAAAGATTCTTCGTGGGAAACACATCTTGGCCCAGACCCAAAGACAATGATGCCAAGCCAAAGAAACTGGTGATGTGGCACCATTTTCCCCATGATTTTCAAGCATGGTTGCTTCGGAAGTCTTCTGATTGGTGGTGTCTAAGATCTTTCTTTGATGATCCGGCTGCTTCTTAGATGGCTTGGAACCGTTATCATCGGAAGTTTACTGTACCCCATTTATGGCCTAGATATGTGTTTTTTTTCTGGTGGGACGAATTTTTGTTGGTGAGGTCCTTTAGATCGAAACTCCGTGAAGTTCCCAATTATTTGAATACATACGTATACTAATTTCTCGATAATTCTCGTGTAGTTTAGTCCGTTACTTATATAGAGAAACCATACAAGTCTGTAGTTCACCTCAAGCCATGTCGAAGTTTCTCAGCTTTGTGGAATGGGCAAGCACGCCACGGTCTCGTAATGTGCACATGCTGTGAGTCGCAGAGCGCTCAGCAGGACGCGGTGCTGCGTTCTCGAAGGAAAAATGGTGTTTTCATGGAGATTTAGGCAACCCCCTGGTTCATCCCCCAATAATTTTTGGGTTCATTAAGGGCAACGAGCTATAGGCCTGGAAATCATGTTTAAAACAACTGCAAACCAATGCATATGGATTGATTGGTTTGAGGTTCGAGAGAACTTTTGTGTAGATAGTTTTACAGGCTTGTTGCTTGGACTTTTCCTGCAATCAAACGTAAGAGTCCTTCAGAATTGTCCTGCCAGGGGTTCTTTTTTGAACCAATTCGAGGATTCCGGGATAAGAATGATGCTTTCCCGGACATCCATTTTCCGAAATATGGGCACTCTTCACTACCAGGAAGAAAGCACTGGCAATTTCTGTTTGTTTGGAGTTTGAGGTGACACAGGGTGACACATGTGGGCAGCCTGTTGAGACCTCGTGAGACCTCGTTTGACAGCCAATTTCACCATAGTTTATCTATAGTTTTTAGGATACCACGATTACATCCAATATCATATGGTAAAATCCGATGAATTCCAATTTCCACAATGCTCTGTACCATAATTCACCGTCGTCACACACCATTGGAATTCACCTATACCTTTAAGATCCCCGATTCTCAGGAGCTTTGAGAAGATCCTTAAACGGCGTCATTCTGTTAGAAGGATGGGCCATGCGGAAAACAGTCATCCCCATTAGCTTCAGCGATTGAACATCCCCCATAAACGGATGCTTTTGATGGAATAATCAACTCTAAATTAGGTGTTGTTTTTTCGCTTTTCGACGGGATAGCCGCCAAATACACCCAAATACCCCGAAGTGGGATGCTGACCCGACATCAACCAGCCATGTGTTATTGTGCTTCGTGGAACAGATCCCGATGCTTTTCAACATCCGCATTCGCGGTTGGGATTATGTTTTTGTTGTTGGTTAAACTTTCAAACTTTGAGTACCACCTGCTTTTTTCGTCAAACATATGAAGGTTAAGCATGCATTTTCCCTATGAGCGCTGCCATGCTATCCATACATATGCATGCTATCCCCCATTTGATCCGCCGGCAGCTTCCAAGGATCTGGATTTAGCCTTGCCTCTACTGCAGTCTTCGCTGGCAACTTAGTGGGCTTGTGGCACCAGCTGGTGACCTTGGGGATTTCCTAAGTCCGGTGCCCCCTTGCATCATCCATGTTAATCATGTTATTTTCGGATTTTCCATGAGATAAACATATATAAATAAACCATGCAGCTATTTTTGGTACCCCCATGACTTTAGGAAACCTCCATGGTTAAGATCCACAAATATATCATAATATACTTGTCAATTTTGCGTCGATTGTTAGTCCGATTTTCGTCATCATTTTGACCAATCAGCTTCGAGAATCCCAAACGTTAGTCGGTTCGTCTGTTCCGGCGCATAGCGTTCGTAGTTGGATCTTTTTTTTTTCAGATCCGTAGTGACACATGATTTTGACCCATACCACAATTATGTCGAGTAAACCTACCTTTTGTAATGATGTGTTGAAACGTGAACATGGCCAGTGAAGATGAGGAAACCCATCTTCCAAGCCCCAACCCATGGCAGGGTCCGCATGGCTGGAGCTCGTTGAGCCAGTGTGAGCCTATCCAGCCATGTCCCTGCACATGGAATTTCAATTTTCTCCGCGTGTTGTGTTCGCCCCCTTGCAGGTATTCATCCAGTTCTTGTAATATATATATAATTATATATATATATATATATGTGTGTATATATATATTATGTATATATGTATGTATACATATTTATAGGTTGGTGGTTTCAGTCTCTTGAAAAATAGAAATCATTGAGGATCACCAAGCTAGTCATTTGGGCGAAGATGTTTATACATGCATGTGTATATATATATTTGTACATATCCATAGCCAATAAAGTATCAAGATTTACAACATTAAAACATCAACAAGTATTCATCTATATGAACAGATTTCTATAATTTTCCATAGTATACATATATAGTCTATAGCCATTTCAGCTGGACTTCTCTGAGAGCCCAGGGATCGACCTTTGCCGTTTCGCGTGGTGCTCATGTGCCCGAAACGTGCGGAGGCCCGAAGGCCTCACCCCACCGGTGGCATTCCCTGTTGAAGTCCCTCTGGTAAACTAACATAGCTATGGAAATGGGTGATTTACCCTCTGGTTGTTTAACGTAGCTATGGGAAATCACCATTTTTAATAGGTAAATCATCATGAATCATCTATAAATGGGCCATTGTCCACAGCTACGTTAAATAACCAAAGGGTATAGTTGGTTTACCTACCCATTTGCTCCATGGTGCTGGAATATTTACCAACATTTGCCCTAAAAATCATCCAAATGTAGATAAATATACCATACATGGAGCATATGGGCTAATAACATGGCCCATAGAATAGTTGATTTACCTACTAATAGCATGGTGATTTTCCAGTTCGCTATGTTAGTTTACCAGAGGGTAAATATCAACTAACCAGCAAACAATTGTTGGCAATGTTATTGTCGGCTTTCTCTGAAAATTGAGGGGAAACATGCAGACACACCCAAATCATCGCGAAATCCTACGGTCTAAAGAATAGACATCCACCATAGTTGCAACATAGATAGATAAAAATGCTTTGAAGGTATGTATCCCACCATACCCGCACTCTATCCTCATGTTTTTTGGATACAAGTCCCCACCACCGAGGCATGGACAAACGGCTGCTGAGTACCTGCATCGAACAAGGCGCCACGGCGTATGTCTCCAAGCCACTGCGAGTGCGCCTGGGGCGAGGTGGGTGTCAGTGCCCAGAACCCAAGGCCCAGTGGTTAACGCCCGGTGAAGGCGGTGAAGGTCAGTCAAAACAATCGTGGGAAAGAACACATCATATTAGCCTTCATAAGTTGGGATATCTATATATATATTATAATATATATATACACACATATATATATATACACATATGACACATGCATAATTACATTTATTAGTGTATATATATACATATGACACATGTATACATATATATATATACATATGACGCACACACACATATATATATATACATATGACAGATGTATATATATATATATACACATATGACATATATGTAGATACATATTTACACATGATGCGTATATATATATATATAAATACATATGTATACATATGACACATGTATGCGCATATGTATATATCAAAATATATACACACATACATACATACATATGACACATATATATATATATGTATTTATATACATATGACACATGTATACACATATAATTATTTATATGTGTATATAAATATGACACATATTGAAATATACACATATATATAAATATGTTTGTATTCATAACACACACACACATATATATATATATACATATTTGGGGTTTCCTAAAGTAGGGGAACCCCCAAATCATCCATGATTGTGAAACCAATGGATTTGGGGTATGTATATATATATATATACATGCATGCATGCATAGACACGTAGATACCTAGATACGTAGATACTTAGATACATAGATACATAGATAAAAATAGATAAACTGAAAAAATAGATAGATAGATAGATAGATAGATAGATAGATAGATAGATAGATACATAGATAGATAGATAGATAGACAGACAGACAGACAGATAGATAGATAGATAAATAGGTAATTAGATAGATAGATACATACAAACCATCATACATCACATACATACATCATTACACACATAACATAACATAACACAACATAACATAACATAACAGAACAGAAGAGAAGAGAAGAGAACAGACAGACAGACAGACAGACATACATTACATACATACATACATACATACATGCATACATGCATACATGCATACATGCATACATGCATACATGCATACATGCATACATGCATACATGCATACATACATGCATACATGCATACATGCATACATGCATACATACAGCATACATACATACATTACATACATGCATACATGCATACATGCATACATGCATACATGCATACATGCATACATGCATACATGCATACATGCATACATGCATACATGCATACATACATATACATGCATACATGCATACATGCATACATGCATACATGCATACATGCATACATACATACATACATACATACATACACAGTGTGTATATATATATATGATATAACCCCCGAAACTGGTTCGTGGTAACTGGAGATCGCCAGAGATAAAGAGTTGGGAGGTTTCCATAAACGGGGGATCCCTCATAGCTGGATGGTTGATTTCATGGAAAATCCTGCCAAATTGGATTATTTAGTGCTTCAGGGATACCCCCATCTTTTTCGATTGTAATACTTTCTAGAAAATTCGTGTGGGACCGGCCACAACAAACCATGGTTCATCTTGGGGAATGCATAAACATGGTTTGATGGCCAAACAAATCATGATACTGGTGAAACAATGGATTTTTGTCAGATGTAAGATTCATTCACTTTAGCACCCACCAATAAGTCTACTATGACATCGACACCTGCGGTGTCTCAACAGGTACAAGCAATTCGGGGGGTGCTGCTGCGCTATGCGCAGGAAGAGGAGGCTGGCAGAGTTTCTTGGGGAAGGGGAGGGCCGGGCTCCTCTTTTCAGATTCTATTTACTGTAACCCCCAAAAAAATCCAAAAGGATAGAACAGTAATTTACGTTTATATCATGATAAAATATGATATCTATCTATATAATTCATAGAAATGTATATCTTGGATTTGTTTGTTTCTTGTAAAGGATACTTGAGGATCCGTTTTTGGATGTTTTGGGTTTGTCTGAAATGGGGTCGATCCCGCAAGAGATGATGTACTGTATTCTTATGGGAAACCCCCATTTGGAGCCTACGTTTTTTTTTGGGTTCGTCTGAAATTGGATGTTTTTAAAATTGCCAAAATCTATCAGAAGGTATACTCTATGTTGAGAAAAAAACACAGTAAGATCATTGGGTCGGTTTTAGGGAAAACTTACAGGTTTTAACATGGTTTCAGCTGGTTTGACCATACCAGGTGAGGCTCCCGTTTAGCTCAATTGGCTTATAACCCCCACAACTACTACAGTGTTAGTAAAGCAATAGGACCACCACTTTCCATAGATGAGTGTGATGGGTTGTATAAACCCTAAATCTGGATGGTTTATGGCATTGCTTGACATTCGTATGAACCTCGTTTGGTATAACTTTCACTTAACAAAAATTGTCATCTATAGTCATATCCCCCAGTTATAAGTTGGTTTATCACCCCATTAACATCCATTAACATCTAGTTATTGAACATAGCCATGGTAAATCACCATTTTTAATAGGTAAACCATCCATAAATGGGCCATTTTCCATGGCTATGTTAAATAACCAGAGGGTAACTCTCGTCATATCCCCCGAATCGTCCGCCGCAAAAACCTTCATTGGCCGCCGGCCGCCGTCGTCCGTCGCGGCCATGCGGCGCCAAAAATGCCTAGGCGTCTTCGCCAACGGCCAGTAAGGGCAACTACGAACGGGTGATCCCGGGAGGGAGCCCGACATTTTTTGGATAAAACATCCTTAGTGATTACCCTTTGGTAAACTAACATTAACTATGGAAAGATCCACCATTTTCAATGGGTATATTCACTATTTCTATGGCCATTTTCAATAGCTATGTTAAATTACCAGCGGGTAAATAGTAACTGGATGGGTAAACTTCCTGAAATTGCCCGATTTTTTTCAAAAAAAGAACTGGATGGGTCGTGGAATCCGTATATATATATATATATCCTTTTGAACATCAGGATGTTTTCTACGTTTACCAGCTAAAAATATATATAATATTAGTTTTTTTGACAGGTATCTAAGATTCACCATCATGTGGAGATATGGTCACCTAAGGGGGATAGTATAGTAGGGGATAAATCCACTGATCCGGGCCTTATTGTGGGATATGGTAGATGTGTTTGGGATTCAACTATGAGAGATTAGGATGTAAGTATTAATGTGTTTATAAAATACTAAGTAATTGCGGATATAATGTGATTATACAACCACCTAAGGGGATAATAGATTACTGGATGTGACATAATCACTACTGGAGATTATAGTTTGGAACATCGCCCAAGTAATTACAGATATGACTCAAGGTGATGATAGGTGATGTTTCAAATCTCCAAAATGGGACAAATATAATGGACCTGATTGGTAAGCAACCCACTAGTCTAGACCAATCTAACTGGGGGATACTTCATATAAAAGGGTGACAATATAGTTGAGCTAATCTGACTGGAGGATACCCATTGTGTATATTTATATATATATGTATAAGATTATATAAGTATATACACATATAAACATATATACATATACATATATATATATACACAGTATATATATATATATATACATATAATTTCAATTATACATATACACAGTATGTACATAGTATTAATATACCGTATATATATATACACAGTATATATACAGTATATACACAGTATGTATATATATATATATCATGCACAATATGTGTGTGTATATATATATACACACATATACATACACAACATTACACAACATGTTTTTTTCATATGGTTGATAACAATTTGTAGTCTTTCCCCCTTAATAGAACCAGACACACTGGTTTAGTAGGGGATTTACACTGATCTGGACCAGGGTGATGGCATTGCAATGGAGACTTAGACGTGACGATCCCTGGATCAGTGAAAAACCAGGGTGTCCTAAGGCTTCGTTGCACTAGAGGAATTCTGTCCAGGGATTATATTTTTGGAGGTTTCCAAAGTCATGGGGGTAATCCCAAATCATCCAGCTATTGTTTGAAGACATTTTCCATGAAATAAAAATTGATAAACCATCCAGCTATTGGGGTACCCGCCATTTATGGAACCTCCCATATATAGGTAGCATAGCGAAGATGTTACAATAGATCTGATGGGGCGACGGCAGTGATGAGATCCACTCTGGGTATGTGTTGGTTTCCATTGTCACATGTTTTGGGATGGGTCAAACTGCTGTACCATTTGGCTAGGTCAACCTTGGATGGGTAGTTTAGTCCTTTAATCGTTTGCTATAAATTTCGGAATATCTACTAAGCGGCTAGCAATTTAAGTGGCTATCGAAGATTGGCAATGTTTAGAAAGTACATATAATATCCCAACATCTCCTCACAACATCATGTCAACTTTACTGCGCTTGTATGGTTTGTTTGGCCTATCTCAAGCTGTGAGCTTCTGCCCAGATTTGGGACTGGCACCAAATCGGAGAGTGGCTTGAGATAGGCTTGAACTGTCCATTTTAAGGAATGCCTGGCTGTTTGTTGGCTGAATCATTCAGTTAGTTGTTGGGTTCGAGGGCGCAAGTGTTGACCTGAATCATCCTGAATCGCAGCAGCACATTGCTCAAGCTTCGTATGTCTGAATAGGCTCAGTGTTTCTGCGAAATCAGAGGCTGGGATCAATGGGGACCGTGGTAGCAGCGGCACTTGGAAGTTGTTTCATTGCGGGGTATCTCTACGCCTCCACGTTTACATAGTAATCCCTACCCTCTGGTAAATTAACATAGCATCCACCATGCTATTCATGGGTAAATCCATTATTCCTATGGCCATGTTCAATAGCAAACAGTTAAATTACCAGAGGGTTTTTCTATTAAATCACTAGATTTAAGACAAGGCTCCAAGGTTTCTGGGGGTTCTTAACATTCGGGGAAGGGATGTATGAAAACTGCGTGATGCGACGTGTTCGTAACAACCAGGATTTCCCTCGAGGTGTTGGACAAACGTCTGGTGAATCCACTAAACAGCATCACTGCTTGGTAGTGTCATGTTTCTGAGTTTCCTTCCTAACTCAAAGAATTCAATGATGTCCGCTGTAAATCTTCATTGTCCTTTCCAGTTTCGAATCATCCAAATGATGATTCAGTGACTTTCCACGACTCCGCCGTTGAATTGCATAGTCAAACTATAAGTATCTTCAGTTGGTGAGATTGCCTTTCATATCTTCGCTTCTCCCATGAAAAATTGGGGAAAATTGGTCGCGTAAATGATGACTTTCCGATGACTTGGCCGAGGGCAGTTCCATTCGCCGAGCGCCGCGGTCCTGACACCGCGGCGATCGAATTTGTGGGCAGATGCAGTGGAAGAGACCTGGCGACCATCGGTATATGGGAGACCTATGGGAAAATGATGGGGAAATGGTGGAACTTTATGAAAAGTCATGGGAAAATGATGTTTTCTTTTCAATGATTTTGTTGCTGTTGTGCTTTTGTGGCTACTAGAGTTGTTGTACTTACTATGGTTTACATTCCATTCCATTCCATTCCATTCCATTCCATCCCATCCCATCCCATCCATTCATCCATTCATCCATTCATCCATTCATCCATTCATCCATTCATCCATTCATCCATTCATCCAGTCATCCAGTCATCCAGTCATCCATTCATCCATTCATCCATTCATCCATTCATCCATTCATCCATTCATCCATTCATCCATTCATCCATTCATCCATTCATCCATTCATCCACTCATCCAGTCATCCATTCATCCATTCATCCATTCATCCATTCATCCATTCATCCATTCATCCATTCATCCATTCATCCATTCATCCATTCATCCATTCATCCATCCATCCATCCATCCATGCATGCATTCATTCATTCATTCATTCACGAATAAGATGAATAAGTATTAATAAACACCTACATATCATACATTCGAATTCTAGATCTCTTGCAATATTTTCTCACTGAGATGATGATTCACCTAGAGGGAATCACGCAGGTTTCTTGTGGCTATGGGAATATGGGAACAGAGGTCCCATCATACTGTAAATTCCACTAACATGGCGCAGCTTTCAGATTTGCGAATCCGAATACCATTCTGTACACTAGCAGAAATGTGGAAAACCTAACATTTGTATATTATTTCTTAAGGAAACTAGAGTTTTCCACATCTATGTTAGTTTACCCTGGGATATTTTGTTGTAATGGGCTTAGCGCCAATCACTGATGGCAACCTGGGGGGGGTGGTTGTTGAAGCTGGGATGGCACGCCCTGAGCTGGTCCAAACCAGCATGGGTTACTATGATTAGCCAAAAATGGCCAAAACAAGTCTGGATTTGGCCAGGATGAACCAACAAACATGATCAAATCATCATAGGGGAGTCCTCCTAAAACCCATGCAAGGCTTTTAGTATCCGAGTGACATCTGCAGATATGGACGTGTTTTGCTGCAGTGGCGAAAGGGGCGGCGTAAGGTTTGCGAAAGGTCTGAATACCACTATTTATAAACCTATAAATAAACGAAAACCTGATCATAGTCCCATGTCCCGATTCTGCTGGGGCGCGAAAGGTTCGCGAAAGCGCGGCGTAAGGGCAGTTTTCGGGTACCATAATTTTGGACAACCCCCAATAGAAGATCATAGAATCTTTGATCTTTGATGATCTTTGCGAGAGAACGGCACCAGTCGCAAGGCCATCAAGTGGCCAGGGATCACAGGACCAATGGGTGCTTATCGGAGTTGGAGATCATCGCCGGTCGATTTCACTGACAGAGCTGGCTGTTTCAAGCGGGTTGCCAGGGATTCCAAGGATCGAAGCTTCGCGGTATCCATGATTACAACGTGCATTGTTTATCTCTTCAAAATTCTTGTTATTTCTGGCCATATTCTTGTAAATATACTCCCCAGGGGTGTACTGTAAATTACCTATCTTTCCGGTGAAAACCCAAACATATCTGCGCATATCTGCGCTATGTGTCGCTTCCCTATGGTTCTTTCTATAGCGTTTGCTGGCGAAGTGCCAAAAGTTTCCGGGATCTACTTGTCTAGTTGGCTTTGTTCATCATTCCTCCACAGTCCTCCCAGATTTACTCGCATTTACTGGCTATTTCGTGAAATGATGTTACCCTCTGGTTATTCACGTCGCTTCGCGACGGCAACCGCCCGCACCGCATCGTTGGGCAGCCGCTCGTAACTGCCAATGATGTCGGCCATTGAGACCAAAAACATCCGAAAGTACTGATTGTCGGAAAAAAAAACGCGAAGAATTTGATAGCCATGTATAGCGGACCAACGCAGTTCAAAAAATAACGAAAAACATGAAAAAACGGCGAAATTGCTGTTATTTACAGTGTTTTTGCGCGGTGAGAAGCAGAAACCACTGCAAATACCATGGTTTTTGAGGGTCAGGTGGCCAAAAACACTGTAATTTACAGTGGTTTTTTAACCAACGTCAAAAAACACTGGTATTTACGATGTTTTCATTCACACCGTAACATAAAACAGCGTAATTTACGAGGTTTTTGGAAGTTTTGAAGCTAGCCGTCAAGCATGCAGAAAACAGAAAAACACTGTAACAACCAGTGTTTCTGCTATCACAAAACGACGAAAATCAGTCCGAAAACGGGTCCAAAAACTCAAAAATCCGCCTCCGGGCCCGGCCACCTGCGGAACCGCAAAAAAAGATGTTGCAAACCAAAAAATTGAGGTCAAAAAGTTGGAAAACACGGGTTTTTTTCACTGTTCGCTTGCCGATTTTGGACGGGCGCGTTCACGAACAGGTGTCTTCCGTACTGTTTTTTACAGTGTTTTTTGAAGGCGAGCGTCACGACCTATCAAAAACAGGAGGTTTTGGCCGAAAAATGCCCCCCCCCCCAGGTAAACCTGTAACCTTTTACGAGTGCCATCCGGAAGATCACGCCCCAGCACCTTCGGTGCGGGCGGATTTAACAGTTCGCCATGGAAAATCACCATGCTATTAATAGGTAAAAGCCATCTATAAATGGGCCATTTCCCATGGCTATGTTCAATAACCATGCAGAGGGTAAATCTTAAACTTGCGGATTAAGCCTAAATTCTTCCCCTCAAAATCACCCCTGCAAGGCCCTGATTTAACCCGAGTATTGGGGGTATTTCCAAGTCGCTGAATCGTCTCAAAACTGAGGGCCTTGAAGAATCTACAAGGCTAGTGGTTTTTTGGGCTGGGTTGGGGATCCTGCAAGCCTTTTCTATCTGTAGCACCCCCCTCTAACTACTGCATCCTAGGTTTGGGGTTGAACATGTTTTTTCTGCAAATAGATAGAACATGATAGAAGCGTCGGAAACCTCCGAAACATGAGTTAATGATCATGACATCCCGGAAAATCTTCTCTACTTTTTGGGGGTTCCTGTAGCTTGTGAGAGACTCACAATATTGTCTTTGTTGGTTGAATGACCATGGGTTTGTTGTTCGTTAAGGTTGAAGCTTTTAAGTCCAGATGGTTGTTGTTCAAATCGAGCCTTTGGTTGTTGTTCAAATCGAGCCTTCGTTTGGTGGGAACAACAGCAACTTCAAGCACCATGTCGAGTCATTTCTCGAGTTGAAGAGTCGTTTGTTGCTTAAAACGACCTGTGTTCTCTTGCTTCATATCTATTTTCGATTGCAGTGGTTTATCAAGTGTTTCCTGCAATTTTTCAGATAGCCAGTGTTTCATAGGTGGCTCAGCCAGTGGCTCAGCCGGTTGGTTGGTTCACCCAAAGGTACACCACTTAGTTGGCCACCAGGTCACAGATGGCTGCGCTCCACTTCTGGATGGGCCGCTTGGTGATGAAGTGCTGTGAAGTGACGATAAGAAACTGGTTGGTGGTTTGGAACATGAATGGATTATGACTTTCCATATACTGGAAATGTCATAATCTCAACTAACGAACTCATATTTTTCAGAGGGGTAGGTATACCACCAACCAGGAAAAATGATTCAACTATACTAACTGATGTATCTTTAATAAGCTGATACATGTTGGTACCAACCTGGTGTATCTATTTTTCAACTTGGTTATGGTACCAACTTAATCCAACTTAATCTTTTGCCATAGAGGGTGGTTTCGAAACCCACCCGTTGAATCCCGTTGAGGGATGTGGTAAACATCCCATTAGAGGCTCTCAAGCATTGAAGGTGCTGCAGGATTTCGCAACCATCCGCAGTAGCAGCTGGATCCAGTAGGATTATCTACAAACCAGCCAACGTCAGCTAACACTGTATTTGTTTGCAGTGTATCTAAGATTGGCAATGGGGATACCGGATACCTTTTTTTTCCCACTACTTGGGGATGCAGTTGAGGTTGCAAGTGGCCCCACATGGCCCAGGGGGATTTTCCATTCATTTTCCCATTGAAAAAACATCCTCGGAACACATTCCCATAGGATCCATGTATGGTATATATGCTAACATGTGGGGTATATTGATGGTAAATGTGACCATATATAGCATACATGGATCCTATGGGAATTGAAAGACGGTTAAACTATGTTACAATGTTAAACCCACATAAAACCACCTGTTTTACCTTCCAGAACCGTGGCCCAGTGGCCCCCACGAAGCTCGAGGTCATCCGGCACACGAACTCGAAGACCGTCTCTGCTTGGCTCACCATCGATTTGTTGATCTCCTTGGCCCCTTGGTCACCAGACATGGAAAAAATAGGGCAACATGGTATGTATAAGCAATGCAATACTATAGCTGGTTGGTGGTTTGGAACATTTTTTCCATATAACTAATATTTGTCAGAGGGGTTGAAACCACCAACCAGTTGGGGTCAGACTATATTGAGTATAAATTACTGTATATACAGTATGAGAGCGGTTCTAAAACCCATGCAAGGCTTTTAGTATCCGAGTGACATCTGCAGATATGGACGTGTTTTTGCTGCAATGGCGAAAGCGCGGCGAAAGGTTGGCGAAAGGTTTGAATACCATTTATACAAAATTTGCACACGAAAACATGATCATAATTCCGTGTCCCGATTCTGCTGGGGCGCGAAAGGGCGCGAAAGGGTCTCGAAAGCGCGGCATAAGGGCAGTTTTGGGGAACCATCATTTTGAACAACCCTCATATATTGGGGTATTCAATATATATATATATATATAAGCAAGAATCCTATACAGTATTAACGTTTGGATATTAGAAGAACCTATCATAGGTCCTGCCCTTGTCACTTGAAATGCCACTGATTCTGACTTTCATATCCCTCAAGTTCACCCCGTTCACCGTGGGCTCCGGGGTCATACATGAAATCTTCCGGGTAAACTGTGAACTTACAGCTGTCCAGACATGAATAATGTGCATTTAACCAACAAAATTTTGGTTGTTTGACTGGAAAGGAATCCACAGTACTATATCCATGGTATGTTTCCGCAAAAACCAACAGAAATGGTGCTTCAAGCAACAATACGACTGGATCTATAACCAACCATGAGGAGGATATATGGGATATAGGACACACACCTGGTTGGTGGTTTGGAACGTGAATTTTATTTTTCCATATATTGGGAATAATAATCTCAACTGACGAACATATTTTTCAGAGGGGTTGAAATCACCAACCAGACACTGCTATAATGTGTTAGAATCTAAGACCACAATGGGAATCCCATGTCACAGGGGCGGATCAACACAAATTGGGGGATCCTTGACGAGTTCTTGCGGCAAAGACCCATCCCCGCCCCGCCGAAGCCACCATTTTTTCAGGGGCCGGGCTCAACGATATTCCATCCCTAACTGGATGGGTAGTTGAATCCGTTAAGTTTTTTTGCTATTTCGATGGACCATGTTTGAACATCACCAGCAAAAAATGAGTTTTTTGTGGACGATGAAAGATTGACCATGGCCCAGGATTTCCTAGCCATGATTGATTGCCGAAGGGTACATCTACCACGATACAGAAAGCAAAGCCAATGGTTTTTTGAGTCACTGGAAAAGAAGCTGAATGGATGAGGATTTAACCAACAAAGATTAGTATCCGTTGAGACTAAGATGAGAGTCCGAACAGTTTTGCTTATGTGACTTTTCACGGAATAGATCCAACTTTTTGGGGGCTCTAATTTTGATCCCCTTCCTCCAGATGCCTTGGGTTTGTTGGTTCTATGGTATAGGAGCCCATGGGGTTACAACGGTCAAGGTTGCGTGGTGTTGTTGAGAGACAATTCAGGTGATTGTGCTGACCGGCCTATGATATTTGAATCAACAACATACTATATAACCTATATATGATCATTGAAGACTCTTGAGCTATGCAAAGAGACTGTCACAAACTGACTGGTCAGGCGCCATTTGTTTCTCGAAATTGCTTCTTTCAGAGAGTCCCTCCCCCCTTCCACACCCAACGGGGATCATGTGGGCATTTTTCAAAACTAAGACGAAAAATTGTACCATCTTTGGGGGGATTAACATCCATAAATCATCATCAATCCCAGCAAGTCTGATATTCACATAGGATTCCATGCTGAAGTGGCCCGCATGCCGAGGGCCTTGGAGTGTATTTTTTCTTCTTCAGATATGTGTCTTCCTTGGGATTGTGCGGGAACACAGCTGGGAGTGGGAGAGAGTTTGAACATTGGGAGAGTTTTCTTTGCCAACAAGTTTGATGCTGCAGCGGCAGAGGCCACTGGGATTTGTTGTTGTTGTTGTTGTTCGTAGCTTTGGGTAGTTTTGCAGAAGCGCTTGGAAGTTGCAGGGAAAGATTCTGTAGTCCGAAAACGGCATGGCCATTGGGGCCCAAACAAAAAGAGCCGCCCGTGGTCAGCCAACATGGCAATGGATGTCACAAACTTGATGGTTGCCTAAGTGGCCATAAGTTGGGGCACCAATTTTTGGAGAAAACGATGTGGAAAAAAATTGCATTGCAGCTGGAGAGCATTTTGCATTCGACCGGTGAGAGACACAGTTCGCAACCGCTTCACAACTGCCAGGCTCAGGAAGGAAAGACATGTCCACCAAATTTGGCCAATCATCGCATTGCATGTGTAGCGGCTGTACATGGCACAGATCATGGTAAATATTGCTACTTAGGAACATCTTGGTGGAAATTCACCCATGAACGGTGATGGCATCTCCTGGTGTCACCATGGGTTTTTGAGGTTTTGTGTTGAACTACGGTTGATCATGTCCAGCGGTGGGCCAATGGCTGAGCACCAAATTTTGATCTTCACGTGCTATGTCTGGTCTTCAGAAGCTACAGGAGTTCACCGATCTGTGTGCTGCATGGCATTACCCTCTGGTTATTTAACATAGCTATGGAAAATTGCCCATTTACAGATGATTTTCCCACTAAAACCTCCATTTATAATGGATTTTCCATAGCTATGTTAAATAACCAGATGGTATATCCAATTCGAATATCTCGCTCTCAGGTGAATATCTCGAATTCGAGTCCAAATCGAGGGGGTGAGTTTTTTGCCGGTTCAACCAACCACCTCCACTGAGTATCACTGCAGAATCTTCCCACCAGTCTTTTCGTAGCTGGCAATTGGGCTACGATTTCAACAGCCTGGAAGAACTTACCTTTCCAAGTGGTCTTCAAAGCTTGACATTGGATGAAACATTTAAAATCAGAGCCTGCAAGGAGTATCCTTACCAAGCGGTCTGTGAAGCTTGACATTTGGGATGTCTTTTAACCGCAGCCTGGAAGGAGTGATCCTGCCAAGAGCTCTTGAGAGCTTGACATTCGGCCGCTATTTCAATCAGACTATGAAAGAAGTAACCTTGCCAGACGGTCTCCTCGTCCTGACTCTTGGCTGGACTTTCAACCAAAGCCTGCCCTTCAGAGCCTGGAAGGAGTCACTTTCCAGAGGCTCTTCAGAGGTTGACTCTGGGCAATTTCAACCAGAGACTGCAAGGAGTATCCTTCCCAAGCACTCTTCAGAGTCTGATATTCGGCTGCAACTTTGACCACGACCTGGAGAGAACAAAGTTACCGAACTTGCTTCAGAGTCTGAGGCTTGGCACCACCTTAAACGACATGCCCGACATGCCCGACGGTCTCCAGAACTTGACGTTTAGCAATCAGTGCAACGCGAGCTTGGAACGGGTGTTTTTTCCGAGCGGTCTACTAAGCTTAACATGTGGATACGCTTTCAACCAAAGCCTGGCAGAAGTATCATTGCCCAGCAATCTTCAGAGCTTGACATTCGGCTACCAATTCAACCAGAGTTTGAAAGGGAGTACCCCTGCCAAGTTCTCTTGAAAGCTTAACATTTGGTCACAGTTTCGACCAAGACCTGGAAGAAGTATCCCTCCCAAGCTCTCTGCTGGACTTGACATTTGGCTTCAGCTTCAACCAAGCTCTGCAGCATGTGACGTTGCCAGATGCCCTTCAGAGCTTGACCTTGGGCGAGATGTTCAACATGAGACTTACTGGAATTGCCCTGCCCAGTGGTCTGCAAAGTTTGGCCTTTGGAAACTATTTTAATATATACCACAACCACGCCTTGGAAGGAGTAACCTTGCCAAATACTCTTCGGAATTTTCGATGCTGCTCAGTTGTCGTCAGCAGCTTGTGTTTTGCCATGTAGATGTTGAAATTTGATAAAAATTGGCTGGTTGCTAAAAATGTGTTGGACGTTCTAAGCCTTTGTAATTTATCATACCAGTAGCTGCGGAAAATCATCGTTTGATTACGGTAGATCATCTAAAACTCTGCCATGTTCCATCACTATGTTGAAGTACCGGAGGCTATAAACTGTGTTGGATCTTCTATTGGATTCAACAAATCCAAGGATTCTTTTCCCAAGGTGTTTTGAAACACCGCCCACTTTGACATTTCGGGATTCCAGAAAAGTTCTTGCGGGTGGACGGGACGCCGATCATCCCAGGGATCGTAAAATATCGTTTTTGTGTTTTTTTCTGAGGCACCCTGGTAATCTAAGATAGCTATGGAAAGTAAGCCATTTATAGTTTATATAGTTGATCTACCTATCAAACATGGTAATTTTCCATAATTATGTTAGTTTACTGGGGCTATAACCCATTCAAAATAGTGTTTTTTTAAATCCGCTTAGAGGAATTTCTAATCAGGGCTACGCATGGCTACCCCAGTTCCTGAGTGGGATGATCCTTGCTGTTGGGCTGTAGAAAAAACAACCTGTGCGTCAGCTGCGACTAGTTTCTGGTTGGTGGTTTGGAACCATGGAATTTTATGACTTTCCATATTGAAAATAATAATCCCAACTGACGAGCATATTTTTCAGAGGGGTTGAAACCACCAACCAGCATTGTTCTGCCCAGTTTTGAGCAAGTACAAAAAAGGATGAGAGATGATGAGAGACCTGTGCTCTGATGTGAGTGTAAAAAGCCAATGTGTTGCGCACCTTCAACTTAGAAGAACATTGCGAATCAGGAGTTATTATTGTATGATGTTGTATGAATATGTACATATTTTAATATATATATATATTGAATGAAAGGACCGGCTAGCAAATTATTCCAGTAATCACAAAGCAGATGTGAAAATGGGATGAAAAAGGCAGGAAAGATATAGGAGATGGTGGAAGACCAATTGCGTGACAGATGTGTATGTGAAAAAGTTGCGCGTCTGTGACAGAATTGTATGTGACAGAGCTGTGTCTGATGGAGTCGTGTGTGACAATGTTACGTGTGCAAGAGTTGTGTGTGTCAGAGCTGTGTGTGAAAGAGTTGTGTGTGAAAGAGGTGTGCGTTAAAGAGTTGTGTGTGACAAAGCTGTGTGCGAACGAGTTGGGTTTTTGTAAAGTTGTGCGTGACAGAGTTGTGTGGGACGCAACTGTGTATGACACTGTTGTGTGTGTGAAAGAGTCATGCGTGACAAAGTTGTGTGTGTGACAATGTTGCGTGTGTGAAAGAGTTATGTGTGAAAGAGTTGTGCGTGACAAAGTTACGTGTGAAAGAGAGAGTTGTGTGTTTGTGTGCCAAGTTGAGTGTGAAAGAGTTGCGTGCGAAAGACTTGGGTGTGATAAAGTTGTGTGTGAAAGAGTTGTGTGGGACGCAGTCGTGTCTGACAATGTTGTGTGGGAAGTGTGGGAAAGAGTTATTTGTGACAGAGTTGTGTGTGTGTGACAGAGTTGTGTGTGTGTGTGCGTGTGCATGTGTGCATGTGTGTTTGAGAGCGTGCTGTGATAGAGCTATGTGTATATAAAAATTGATGTTATTGTGGAAATATGTTCCAGTCATTGTGTAAGTCATATGCGTCCAATAACCTTGCGACAAGACGATGTTGCGGATGCTGGACGTGTGTGCAACAATCAATGGCGCTGTGTGACAAAGTTTAATCTTGAGCCAGCCCAGTTCCGTAAGTGCCAGGCCTACCACGCAAAAGTACGGTGCATGTCACCAAGTGCCACGCATGCCATTCGCGGCGCCACGCAAACCAAGATGCGCCACCTGAGCCAGCCCAGTGTCATAGGTGCCACGCCTACCAAGCAAAAGCAACGTCCATGTCACCAAGTGCCACGTTTGCCACGCAAAAGCAACGTGAGAGTGACCAAGTGCTACGCCTGGCACTCAAGACAGCCGCGACGGTGTGTGAAGAGTTGTTTGTGACAATGTTGTGTGTGAAAGAGTTGTGTGTGTGTGCGCGCGTTTGTGTGAGCGTGTGGGTGGGCAAAGTTGTGTGTGAAAGAACTATGTGACTATGTGTCACGAGTCTATGTGTAAAGAGTTAAGTTGCGTTTTTCACAGGTCAATGCGCAGCATGTGCCTCGTTGCATTTTTGAAAAGAATTCCCCTCATTGTGTGGAGTTCTGGTTTTTCCTCTGCACCCGGCCGCCTTCTCCTCCTCTTCCTCCTCCTCCTCCAGCACTTGTTTAACTGATACACGCAACTTTGTCACACAGAACTCTTTCACACACACAACTCTGTCGCACACAACTCTTGCACGCGCAGCATTGTCACACACAACTTCCTCACATTTTGGAACAAGAGAAACAGCATGCAGACGGATGTTTCCAAAACAGCGTTTGGACAAAAATGAATGAGAACATCAGAGTGCCGCAGACAGATACCAGTACGGGTATGCAGCAAGTTGGTGCAATAGCAACGCTACAATAGGAATATCTACACATAAAGTGTTGCCCCCACAAGCTAAACATTGGGGACACCTTGAGTAAAGATGGCTCTACATATGATTGGTTGCCACGAGCAATGTGGGTTGCATGATGTGGTTTGATATGAGCTATCATTATCCTAGGCTATCATCATCCTAGGATATCTCGGGTATGGATAGCGATTCGAACTGACCTGTTGGACCAATTGACAGCAAGTCCTGAACAGTGCCGAACCGTTGCTGTAGCGGGGATTGTCCGTGTTTTTTCTTAATGCGCTTTGAAGATTTGGGTGGGTTGCATATCCTGTCTTGATGTGTGCATTAGCTTGGAAGATTGTTGAGTCGCACTTTCTCGGAATTTCCCCGCATTGGAACCACATGACAAGGATTGACAAAAGTACATAAAATACCATGTTTCCTGATGTGGAATCACTTTTTTGTAGTTTTTTTTGCCCATGGATATGGTAGGGACATGATCCAGTAATTAGATGGGTAGCATCTGGCTGGTCATGCTGGTGGGTGGTACCGCCTAGTTCAATAGGGATTGTTGCAACTCAACATACGAATACCTCTTGAGGGTTGGTTCCATCGAAACCTCCGAGCCCACTGTTGATTACATATAAACACATCATTATATATATATTAAAAATAATATTCATCATTCATTTATTTATGATATTTTACATGTACATATAGCTATTCATGGTGGTTCTATCATTCAAATCTCCTTTTCCACAGGAAAAGGATCTCATCACACGCCAGGAATGCTTTGTCTGTGATGAGCAGCTTTAAATTCTACATTTTCGTCGCTGGATTTCGGGCCACTTGTCCAGGCGATGGTTGGATTAGATCACCGCATGGGAAGGATCAGCGAACGCATTTCAGAATGCGTTTGTTTACCTTTTGCTCTTAGGTCCCTTAGTTAAATGGGTTGTTTCTATTTGTTACGGTTGGGAACCACCAAATGGGATGATCCATGAAATATAGAAACATCCATAACCAGAATTATCAGAATTTGTTTGGAATGGTTGGAAATTTGGAACGCTTTGGAAGCGTGGATGCCATGGTAGCTCTGCCATTTTCTACCCGGAATGTTTTGTCGTTGCCAACCGCCACAGACCGCTGGGTTTCAAACAAATTAAAAGACTGGTGTTGCAAATTATCCAGTGATCCGAATTTGCATATTTCACCAACACGACCAAATTGGATCGCATGATATTCTTTGGTTGTGAGTCAAGACACCGACACCCTAGGTACCCTAATTAAAGTAGTTGGGTAATGGTTGTTGATTCCCCCAGTCCTATGGTAAAATAAGAGGTAACTTGACCCATCCTTAAATATGGAGGTTTCCGAAAGTAGGGGTACCCCTAAATCATCCATTTTTCGGATTTTCCACTATAAGCCTTCCATTTTTGGGGTAGCCATGACTATGGAAACCTCCATATGCGCACTGGGATGGTGATGGTCAACATCAGTAAACCAAGGTCTACTATAGGACCACCCCCAAAAAAGATAGAAAAATCAAATCCAATTGAAATACCCTCTGGTAGTTCAACATAGCTATGGAAAATCACCATTTTTAATGGGAAAATCCACTATTAATGGCCATGTTCAATAGCTACGTTAAATTACCAGAGGGTAGTGATAAACTAGATTTTTCAATACGTTTTTTTTTTGGGGGGTGATTTTGGAGGTTACTGCGTTTGTTACATAGTTAATGTTAGTGAGGCAATAGGATCCGCCATCCCCAAAATGGTTCTTAAAATGGATGGGACTGAAACCATCCATTTATATAGGTGTTTTGTTTTCATTGTTTTACTAACATTAATATGGATCTAGCCTGGTATATATCTATGGCGCATGTTTCTGTTTTTTGTGGTATATCTGCTAACATGTCTACTAGCATATGAGTAGAAATGTAATCTACCATCCATACTGGGGGTTACTATCGCATATGTATAGATTACGTTTCTATTTTTTTCGTGAGCTACTATAACAATGTCGCGCATCCATTAGTGACGTGCTATTGAATAAGGGCAAGTTGCTCTGAAAGTATTCCCTACGCATGTACAGTGTACCTTGGGATGGTACTGTCTAGTGGCAAGTGCTTTGTCGGAGTCGGAGTTGATTGTTCAGATCATTATCCGACATAGATCTAAACTATAGATCCGCTTTTTATGGGGATTTTCATGTAAAGCCCGATCGTCATGCTCGTGTTTGCTCATTCTTGAGACGGTTTCCCACTTTGTATCTCAGCCTTGCCGATTGCTTGATATGAACATTTCGTTGGTGTTACAAACAAATAGCCTGGTATTGAAATTATTTGAAATTGTATGTATACACATATACTCTACACATGACATATATGCAACATTATGATGACATATGTGCAACATTATGCAACTCTATGCATATATGCATAGATACGGTTATATATATAATCTATATTTATACAATCATCATGGCATCCTGGAGTAGATAGAATGTTGAAATGTTAAACATATTCCCTCACTAAAAAGGGACTGTTTTTTGAACATCCTTTCCTCGCATACACTCTATCTACTTCCAGGTGTCTATCTACTTCGGGTATGTTCTATTCTATAGAGTATCTATCAATTATTATATATCTGTTTATATCCCATAGAATCAATTACTATAGTTATTTATCTATCAACTACTATAAAATATCAAATTCTATTTTTATATCTTTCAATTACTGTTGATTTTATATCCCATAATTCTTTCTCGTTCTTTTATATACATCATCTCCGCTGCTTCATGCAATTTCCTCCATGAGACCGAGGCTGCCTGCTCCATTTGGGGCAGCTCGGTCAGAAGTTGGTTGGGGATATCCCATGAGATATATGGGATCGGTAAATCATTGGTGACATATTGGTGGTTATTGCAGATATAACGGGATAATCATATCCATATGGGATATAATGGGATATATATATATATGTACATATATAAATATGGGATACTGCCGGATTCACCCAATGCGCCAGACAGCCGATTTCGTCTTTGAAGATTTCATGAGACGGTGCTGTAACGCCTTTCTACATACATACATACATGCATGCATGCATACAGACATACAGACATACAGACATACATACATACATACAGACATGCATGCATGCATACAGACATGCATGCATACATACAGACACACACACACACATCCAGACATGTTGCATACATACATACAGACACACACATACATACATGCATGCATGCATGCATACATGCATACATGTATTGCATACATAGATACATACATACATACATACATGCATACATACATACATACATACAGACATACATACATACAGACACACACACACAAATACATACATACATACAGACAGACAGACAGACAGACATACAGACATACAGACATACAGACATACAGACATGCAGACATACAGACATGCAGACATACAGACACACATACATACATGCATACATACATACATACATACAGACATGCATGCATGCATGCAGACATACATACAGACATGCAGACATGCAGACATGCAGACATACAGACACACATACATACATGCATGCAGACATACAGACATACAGACATACAGACATACAGACATACAAACATACAGACACACAGACACACAGACACACAGACACACAGACACAGACACACAGACATACATACATACAGACAGACAGAAAGACAGACAGACATACAGACAGACAGACAGATATACAGACATACATACATACATATATACATACTTACATACATACATACATCTTCGTATATATATATATGGGTAAATTATAACAACCTCACTGCGATCTCACTTAAATGATGGTTGCGATTTGGGGCAACCGTTCCAAAATAGCTGAACTTTTCAGATGAGCGAATCATTATAGTTTCCCCTCTTAAGTCCACATTTTGTTGATGGAAACGATGTTAAAAAAACCCTTTTCCCCATCATTAGGGGGTTCTATATATGTATATACATAAGGTGGTGCCCCCGCGGTTATAAATCGCACCCATTAAATATAGATTTATTTTCTATAAACTTTAAGTTGTTGGAATTTTGTTCACCAACTTAGCTAAGTCATCCAATTATGGAGCACCACCTTATGTATATATATATATACACTGGTTGGTGGTTTCCAACATGAATTTTATTTTCCATTTCATATATGGGATGTCATCCTTCCTATTGACGAACTCCATCATTTTTCAAGATGGTTAAGTCACCACCAACCAGGTACATTGATATGCAAGATTCGTGTCGCTGAGGCATCCTGTCCGTGCTCTTTCGCAACGTGAGACAGGTGAAGCTGTCCCGGGAGCCCAGTGGTAGCCATGCCATGGTCACGACGTTGCGATGAAAATCAGATTGGGGGGGATGGTCATTAATCCCATAGTTAGGGATTTACCATAGTTAGTGTAATTCATAGGGATTTGACTTTGGAAATCCCCTGGATAACTACGGTGGTTATATACCAAATAGTACTTATAGGGAAACATACCAAAAAAACGATCTGGAAAAAAACTCGTTAGACATTTTTTTTGTACTTGTAGGGATTTACCCGGCCTGGCAAACATACAAAAAACGAACTGGAAAATTACCACGCTATCAATGGGTAAATCCACTATTTCTATGGCAATTTTCAATAGCTATGCTAAACTACCAGAGAGTATACCTATTGTTGTATCTCCTACTATATATATATATATATAGTGTTATATGTCCAGATTCTCATGATGGATGACCATAGCCCATATTTAACCTGGTGTAACTTGACGGCACAGGTATGGTTTTGCATGTTTTTTCCAGGACGAGTGATTTGTGTCTCAGAAAAAAATGAATATTTTACAATATTTTCATATCAAATCTATATATGGCCCTTTTTTGCTATCTTAAATTACCAGAGGGTACTCGTACTGGGGTGCTACACAATAGACATAGATGAAACCATCCTGAGAGAGTTGCGTTTTCGAACATCAGATACGCGTTTTCGATTGGAAGTGCAGGCCATGGGCTATGCACGGGTGTAACTATGAGATTTAAACCCATCAATTGGATTCAATTGGGATATTTTGTGCCCCTATAACTATGGCTTATACCCTCTGGTACACTAACATAACTATGGAAAATCACCAGGTTTAATGGGAAAATCCACTATAAATGGTCATTTTCAATAGCTATGTCAAATTACCAGAGGGTAACCACCTTATGAGTGGAACTGTACCCCCCAAATACTGCTGAGAAAATTGCCGACTGGATGTGACGAACTCGCATAGGCGATGTTCCCGTCCACAGGATAACTCTGTCCTGCCGACTGGATGATCGTAAGTTGGTATATTTGTTCCCGATATATCAGGATGATTTATATCAAGTTGATATCAACTGTTGGTATATTTGTTCCTATGAACTGGATGACCTGCCACAGAATATCAGCTTGAAACTAAGACTGTTTGAAGCCAAGCGACTGGTTGACTGTCAATTTTGCCAGTGAACTCCCCCAGAAGGCGCTTAAAAATCCCACATTACGACCACGTGGTTTTCAGACCGAGGTTTTACAGCATCTTCATTCTCAATCTCTTTGTCGCTGTCTCTTGGCGACTTCACTGGATGAGGCTTCACTGGATGAAAGAAACCGAAAGCTACGTAAGAAGCCTGTTTTTTCAATACACCATCCCCAAAAGTCACCATTCTTACGGGTTTTTTCACCCCAAATGGTAAATATTCTGTTTGGGGCATATTGGGACTAGGACAGACATGACAATATTCAATAGTATACAATTAATAGTGACATAGTTGGAATCACTGGATTACCAGTTTCACCATGATATCAATCCATGACTGGATGATTCACAGCAAAACTACCTGCGGTGGAGCCCTGGCCGTTTTTTTCGTGAGCTGAAGAGTTAGTGGAATATAGCCCATATATATATATATCCAATATATATATATAATTATATATATAATATATTACTATACATAGTATTATATATGTATATATATATATATATACATGCAGGGGGAATACCATATCATTATATATTATACATATGTAGATCGTTAGCATATGTGGAACGATCAAAAGTGTCGCTTTCCCACAGAGTCTTCCACTCGATTTTGATGTTGCTCACCACTTCCCATGACCCTGCCATGATACCCTACCGACTGGATGGGAAATGTTTCATCCTTCAGTTTTTTTGCAAAAAATGGATGATTGGATCACACCAAATAACCATCCATAACCAGCAAAAAATGGAGTTTCTTGTGGACGATCAAAGATTTACCATGTTTTTTTTTTAAATCAGAAACGGCCAGTTGGGTTGAGAAAGTAAGGATTCATGGGAAAACCGTTAACTGGTATTATACTGTATTATACCAGCTGGCATTATGGGTATATAATACCAACATAGATGTATTATGTATTAAATGTATTTAGTATGGGTATGGGTATATAATACCATTTTATTTTAACCCAACATTTATGTATGATACCAGTTGGGTTGAAATGGTATGACTTCAACCAACTGGATGGCCAGTTTCATCATCCTTTGCGATTTCAACGGGATTTTTTCCACTCAGCAGCTGACGATTTTTCGTCTTTTTTTATTGTAGGATATATCTAAGATTGGACATGTATTTAGGTGAGTGAATTATCATAATTTATCCAGATAGGTCAATAGATGTCAATAGCAAAGAGACTACAATTGGGATCAATTGGGTTTGTAGTTAGGGTAAAGCCCCATTCCATCGACCTCCTCATTCCCATTTTCAGGCACTGCCAGTGGCTTTTTTCGGCTGTGACCAAGGTGTGGTTAATGATCCCGATCCTGAGTCTTCACTGCCGATGTGACAACTACTACCAGTGCCAGGTGCGAAAGGATTCCAACAATGATGGTATCATGGGATGGGGGTATCAAGGCACAAAAATGCAGGCACATCATGGGGTAAATCCGGCTGCCCTACATGGTCATCGAAGCCTTCTCCAAGAATGCACGGCCGGTAAAAAAGATGCATCCGTCGTCTGATCTGGTGCATGGCAAGCTGGAGGGATGTGGCATGGCAAGCACGTCCTTTTCCAGTCCTTTTCCGCAGCAGAATCCGCCATGAATGGCCAGGGTTTGAGCGTCGGGTGCCATGAACTTTGATGGTCAATTAAAAACGTCCCTGCTAAAGTAAAGCACTTTGAAGTTGATTCCAGGTACCGCACTGATATGGGGGTTTCATGAAAAGGAGGATCCCCAAAACCATGGGTTTCAAAACTAAAATAGTCTAAGTTTGGATGATTTGGGTGTACCAACATTTTTGGAAACTTCCGTACGTTCAGGCTCTACAATCCTTTGCCCTGGACGGAAAAGCGCTGAACAAGTCACTCGGTTCACATGTGCGAAGTTTCGGTTTGGGTTTAGGCGCAGTGGGGTGATCAAAACAATTTCTGGATTATTTTGATGGGGATTTCATGATATCTAACCAACACAAATGATGGTACAAATGGGAATATCATTCACATATCATATAAAGTGGTTTGTAAACCAACTTAAGCTTGATGATGTTTTCTATGTCTGTATGGCGTGGACAATCATCAGTGACGAAGTGAAATGGCTAAACGGCCAACCATTTCATTTATATAAGTGTGATGCCATCATCCCCATGTTCACTCTTGTGAGTTGAAGTTTCATCTTGCGACATATGCAAGGGCGTGTAGCAAGGAGCCAGTGAATCAAGATTTCTAACTCTGTCCGTGGACTTTGCATAGGTTTGGATTCAAAATGGGTTTGTCAGTTTGTCCAAAAATCAGGTATACTGTGTACTTCAAAATATGCAATTTTGCTGGAGAAACAATGATAAAGCGTTGGAATGTAGGGTACCCCATTTTCACACAAACCCCACATATCCCCAATCTAGCATCCAGCAGACAGATGGAATGAGTGTATATACATGTGTATATATATATATAATGTGGGTAAATGACAACGACCTGACTGCGATCTCACTGGAATAATGGTCAGTAAGGGGTCACGGGCAACTATCTCAAAATAGCCTTCTTTCAGATTAGTGATTTTTTGTAATTTACCCAGATATATCTAATAACATGATAAACCCAAGAAAAGGTCACAGTGGATATACCCAAGAATAAAGCTCTTGAAACCTAGTCACTGAGGTCTCCAACCCTTTGTGGCTTGAAATGCCATTGTTTCTTGCTTCAACACCAACTTGTTGATTAGATTTGTGAACTCAGACTGTAATTTCTTCTCACTTCAAATCCCAACCTTTTTGTGTCTTGGAGAATTAGAACCATCGGAAACAATCATCTTTTTTGAGGCTAACATCTGGCAATTTCTTGGTTTCAGGTGGCCAGAGCCCGCGCATTTCGAGGATCGCAAGGCCGAACCCATGGGCTGCGGCTGAGCGCAGCTGCGTTGAATGCCTCGGTGGAATGCTGCTTGATGTTTGTTGATGTTTGTTGTTTTTTGTTGATGATGATTCAATAAGAGCTCAATGATGATTCAATGATGATTAGATGACGATTCAATGATGATTAGATGATGATTTATTGATGAATCGATGATGATGATGATGATGATCATGGTGGTGGTGGTGGTGATGATGATGTTCTATCACACAAGTTTGACGTTACACGAACATTTTCTATGAACAGACTAATTAATATCTCCCAAACACATGTATTAATTTAGTGATATTTAGTGTGTTGTACCACATCACTACAGAATATATATATATATATATAGATAGATAGACCACATTTTCTGTATATATATATAATATGAACATCTTGTTGTTTTAAGGTGACCTTGTGATCCGATTTGACTTCCTTCTCCGGCGCAAACGGGAGGTCCCCTATGAAGAGGAACCCTCCACAGCCAATGAGCTGATCGTTGGGAAGCTCAGTGGATCCGGTTCCGGTGGTTCCGGTGGAAGGTCGGTGGATTGGTGATGGTTGCAGAGAAGGTGGATGATGAACATTAATTAGCTGGTATTTATTATGATGATGATGGTTTCTATCATAATTAACCATCATGGTTATTATCACTATAACTATCATGGTTATTATCATAATAACTATCATGGTTATTATCATAATAACTATCACGGTTATTATCATAATAACTATCATGGTTATTATCATAATAACTATCATGGTTATTATCATAATAACTATCATGGTTATTATCATAATAACTATCATGGTTATTATCATAATAACCATCATGGTTATTATCATAATAACTATCATGGTTATTATCATAATAACTATCATGGTTATTATCATAACAATGGGATTGGTTATGATGATGGTTATTACCTGGGTTTGTTGAGTCGGTGATTAGCGGTTTATTTTCCCAATGGGGTGAATCCACCAGGACTGAGGAACCTATAAATGGATCATAGGATAATCCGGTTGGTGGTTTGGAACATGAATATCTATATATCTGGTTGGTTAATAGTGATGGTTAAAAATGTGGTTTTCATAGGCTATAAACCAACAACAATGGGAATATGATGGTGATCTGATTGGTGGTTTGGAACCATGGAATGGATTATGACTTTCCCACCATGTATGGGAATGTCATGCTCCCAACTGACGAATTCCATCATTTTTCAGAGGGGTGGCGAAAAACCACCAACCAGATTATGATGAACATTGTGGATTGGTTATTGATTATTGCATGTTATTACCAACTAGTTGCAGGGTGATTTTTGAACCTCAGTTGGATGATCCACAGGTTATGAACCTATTGGTTAAATTGGTTATTACCAACTAGTTGCAGGGAATTACTGAACCTCAGATGATGAAGATCCACATGAACAAATGTATTCTTTTGGGTTGCCTTTTTGACCATCTAGAATGGGAATTGGGCTTGCTCAGGTGAGTCCGGGGAAGGATAGTTCCCCCCAAAGTTGATGCTGCTGCTGGAACTAGGATGAAATAGGCAATTTACAGAAAAAAAAACATGGAAAAACAACATGAATAACATCGGGTTTACACCCAAACAAGAAGGTGTTTCACCAGCCGGTCGCCGTTGTTTCCGGTCCATTCCTTGGCACCTAGGACCACCCGGAGATAGAGAGCACTGCAAAGACGGGTTGCTGGGGCGGGCGCTTTAGGGGAGAACTGGCCGAAGATCGTTGGAACAATGGCCATGGAAAATCAGGAAAACCATCTACATGATAAGTTGCCTGATAAGTGGCTTAACTATGGTTTATGGTAGATATAACTATAGTTAATGGGGTTTATAAACCAACTTATAACTGGGGGGCACCATCCTGTATAGTCGTTGGGAAAATGAGATGAGATAAACCCACTTAGAACTGGGAACACCATCTAAATAACTCCAATAAAATGTCATTTTCGGTTCTTTGATCAGGGGTTGTTCAAGCCCACTAGGTAAATGATAGCAACTTTGGGGAAAACAATCCAGTTTAGCAATTTTGCAATTTGTGTTTTGCCAGTTTACCATTCTTGTACCTGGGCTGTTGGGAGCAACCCTGTTGATGGGATTCGGAATCCTATCTATAAATTGGTGTATGCTGGGACAAAGAAGTGGTTCAGCCGATCAAGCAGGACAAGCAGAAGAGTGAACCAACATTTACTTGTTGAGGAGAAAAAAATGCTTCAGATCACTTCTTGTTTGGCACTGGAAATCCGAAGGTGTTGGTCCTTAAACTTTGGTCGATCAACTTGGGGGGAACCACTTGTGAGTTCTCAGTGACCACCACCTTTGCCAGTCAGCACACAGGTCAAAGTTCTGAGACCCAAATTAATGAGGTGAATATGGGGCACTGATGGTCGTGCCCCTTGTGCAGTCAGCCAATGTTGTGTGGAAAGGTACGATTAGGATACAAGAGAAATTTGTCGGATTTTGTTGGTTTCAATCATCAAGAAAGATATACACATTATTTTAGTTTTTCAAATCAGTGGTGACTCTTCTGTAACTTTTGGGGCAAAATTACCATGTCATTTGCCAAAAATACCGCCCTTCTATCTAGGGTGTTGGCAGCCCCGTGTAACATAATTAAACGATTTCCAGATGCCTATTTATCACATGATTTACCAACTATATCCTTGTTGATGTGGTGCTTTGTTTTTCTATGTTTGATTGGGATTGGAAGTGTCACAGGTTGCTGGTTCCAAATATGTCTAATTGTCCATTTCTGGAATGATGATTTCTAACTGATATTGTACCCTTTGGTAATCAAACATTGCAATTGAAGCCCCAGCTTTAGTTGGTTTTTCCATAGGAAAATCATCTGTAATGGGTGATTTGCCAATGCCGATTTTGATTACCAGAGGGTAGTCTCGAAAAGACGTGTTCAGATATAGCTTCGAATACCACCAGCTTAAACGTTGCCCAAGAAGTGGGACCTGGTTTTGTGACGACTTTTCTCTCGTCGCAGATGTGCTGCAGGACAACCACTGCATCAACTACCAGCACTAGTGAAAGCACGACTGTCCCCTGGCAGAGGGTTTCGGTCCTGAATGAACTCTCTGTGTTTCTGCGGTGGCCTTGCAATTTGCGGTATGTTTTGGCAGGCCAACAAATATACCCTGGCTATAACCAAACGTGGCTGGTTGGGAAATCCCTATAAATATGGAGGTTTAAGCTGGGAAAATCATCCGCAAGTGATACTGTATGGAGACGGTTTCATCCTGTGACTCTGGGTGTGTCCTTCAAGCTTGCTTACTATCCCACTGGGAGCCAAGTCTCTATATATGTATATATATATATGATTATGTGATTTATCATGTTTTTCAAATTCTTATTTCTTGACATCAGTTTGTTCATCACAAGACTTCACTTTAGCCTCCGCCAAATCCCTAGAATTTTCGTTGCTATCCTCAAACCTTGGCCATGAAGAAAGCTTGGCTTAAACCATCATTAAAGAAACATTGAACACAGATAAAGACCCATAAATTTCATAAATAAGATACGGTGGGATTTATATATATGTATAAACTGTATATATATATATACATATATATATATATATATACATATATATATATAGATAGATATAGATATAACTAACTTCTATGCAGCACGTTATTCAGTTTATACAGTATATCCAAACATCTCCCCATCAAACATGTTTTTTTCTAGCCTGAGGCCTCTGAGAAAAAGGAGCCGGAAACTGTGAAGCAAGAGGCCAGGAAATGTCCCCGGCAGAGCGAAAATCAATGGAGATTTCAATCACCAAACATGGGAATTCAAGCGGTAAGGAGTAACTGGAGCCCAGAACTCACAGAACTCTGACTACAAGATGTTACAAGCCAGGGTTCCGAAGTTAGGGTTCCTTTTAATGTGGGTTCGCCATTTGAAAAAAAGACTGCTTTGCATTTTCTAGCAGATATCTGGCAAACATTCAAAAATGAGGCTGTCGCCTTGGTTTCACACATGCTCTACACTCCAAAGCTCGGAACATCTCAGGTGGTACTCATGGTAAAGGTTACGGTTACATCAATTCTTCGCCCAGGCTTCAATGATTACAACCCCTCTCAAATTGAATCCCCAGTTTTGGGAAGATGAGCTGCAAGTTTCGAGGTGTAGACACCAATTTCGTCCATTGTCAATGTCCTATTGGCCTTAAAATGTCTGGTTGGTGGTTTGGAACCAGCCTGGGCTCAAAACCCTTCCAGCCCTTTGGGTGGCTGATCTTTGCGGATATTTGAGCGTTTTGGTCACATAGCCATGTCAAGTGAATGGGATCGAGTTGTGGCACTACATGATCTGTTCACACCCCATTGGAAGACGCTTTCTAAGGGAACCACTGTTTCTGTTGTCATCGACTGTCTTGTGAACACGGACTCTTTGGTAATGGGAACTTCTGTGCCAGATACCCAACGGGTCAGGTTATATGGGGATATTAACCACCAAGTCAGGGGCTGCCGTCGCCTTTCAGTCCTGGGAGCTGTCTTTGACTCGTCTTGTGACTTTGTGGACTTACTTGTCACTGACACCACTGTGGTTGTGGCCCATGGACTTTCTCCTGCCCGTGACATGTGTCGGTTTGTGGAATTGTGCGCTGGAATTTCTTGTTCAGGTGTTGGTCTGAGTGCTGCTGGCTTTGAGCACATCGGTAGTGTTGAGTGGCGTCCCCCGTTGGCTCAGTTGCATGCCGCATGTCACCCAGGCATCCCTGTGATCACTGGAGATATCAATGAGCCGAGCTGCATCCGAGATGTCCTCCAGAAGTTTCAGCCACCTTTCAGCTTGATGTCAGGCATTTCATGTCAACCGTACAGCTCAGGAGGATCTCAAGGTGGGTCCGAAGACATTAGGTCCAACACCCTTCCTGCCACAGTTAGATTGTGTTACCTATGTCAAAGTCCCTTGTTGATCATTGAATGTGTGACTCAAGCCAGGTCCAACCGTTTTGTGAGGTCAATTTTGCAGGCCCTTGAGAACCAACTTGGATATCATCTGGCCGAAATCACCTTGAAGCTTGAAGACAATTGGGCTGCCCGTAGATATCGTTGGTGGGTGATTGCCTCACATCCTGCAGTTGGACCGCTGAGTGTTCCTGACTGGCCAAAGAGCCCAGGACTATGCATCCGAGATCTCATGCCATACAGCCGCCAATGGCCAGCAGATGTGTTGAAGGAGCTTCAATTGACTGCGAGCGAAGCTCGCCAGTTCACTTTGGACGGCTCGAGTTTGAGAAAGTATGTCCTTCAACCAGATGGCAAATTGCCGACATGTTTGCACTCATGGGGATCTCAAGCTTCTGAATGTCCATGTGGCTGCAGGAGTTCTGGATTTAGTGACAGTCTTGTGCGCCAGCGAGGCATTTATGCACAGCTGCTCACAATGCAGCAAGAAGATGGCACCCCGTGGTACCGCCATTTGCACCCGTGTGAACTTGCACTTTTGAATGCCATGCCACCACCACCGCAATGGTTTTCTGATGAGCATCCGAATCTCAAACTGTGCATTTGTGCCATTGGGCAGCTTGCGTCGCCATTGCAGTCGGTTTGGGTAGGAGCCACTGTCATGCAGCACCTTCACAAGCTTTTGGATTTGCCTGCTGTTTCACCCCCTGCTCTTCTTCAGGCTTTCAAAGGGAGGTTGTTTGCATGTGCCAAAGATATGTATCCGAGCATTCCCAGCACCCCATCTTTGGACTTGTCTTGGGTAAACTTGATTCACATGGATGGCACCAGCATCAATGTTCAGGTTGGAATTGATACGACGTTTGCCGAATTGTGCCAGGCTGAGCTTGCTCTCACTCAGCAGAATCTTGATGGCAGTTGGTGTGATGCTTCCTCTAGGGAACCACTTGATGCCAATGACAAAATTGCTGGCCGATGCATTCGTGTGTTTCCCGATGTTACTGATGCCCCTGCCGATCCTACCAGGTTTGTCCCAGATAGCAGCCTTGAAGCCCAGATCACGACAGATGCAGATTTGTCCCCCAAGACACCAGATGCCATTTGGGTTCGTCGGTCAGGTGATCTTGATGTCTCTGCTGGAATGTCCATGGATTCTGTCCCTGACAAGATGCATGGACTTACGCATCTTGTCGGGTCTCAACTTGCTGGACTTTTGCCTCCTCTGGTCACTGATGTTGCTTACTGTAGTGCCCTCCGGCAATCAGTGGTCTCTGGACCTGCTCGCCTTGGAATTCTTGCCAATGAAGACACTGCTATGGCCGATGATGAACTCTCTCTGCATCTTCGTGCATGTTTGCAGCTTGCCGGACGACCTGACATTCAATTGTTGGACCCTTTGTTGGCTTTGGGTTGGTTGCGCGCTGGCGATGTTTGCAAAGCACGGGCTTGGCTTCAACAGTTTCCCTCTTTGTCCAGTGTTGTGTCAGCTGTCTTGGTGCAGTCACATTGGATTCCGGTCATGTGGACTGTTGGACTTACTGAGGTTCAGGTTACCCTGTGGGAGCATGTGGATACTGAGATTGATTGTCTCTGTCCTTTGCATGGTTTGATCAGCAGTGCCTGGGGTCGTCCACGGTTCAGCCTTGCTTGCACTCGTCGCACCTTTGGCAGTGGTTGTTGTGGTGCTGCAGTGGTTGCTTTCCTTGCGTCCAAACTGCTTTCCAAGGACTTGCCAAGGACTGAGGCTGACTTGTTGGATTTGCACACGGAGCTCAAGTGCAGCTTTGCTGCGGCCTTGCATGATGTTGAGCAGGTGCCTAAGCCTTGGTGTTGGGGTCTGGGACAACTTGATGTGTTTGGGTTGACTGCTGCACTTCTTCAGACGCATGGGGTCCCGGCTGCCCAAGCATCACTTCGTGCCAAGCTTGTGGTCCAAACCTTGGGCAAGACAGAGGTCAACAAGGCAGTCCAGGGCATTGCTCCTTGGAAATCCCTTAAAGCACTGGCCAATTTGCAGAGCCCACCTTTGCAGTTGGTGTTACCAGATGAACAGCATCAACAGACACTTGCCAAGCCGCCGGCCAAGCCCAAGAAGGCCTCTAGTGCCATGCAGAAGCTGATGCCCACCAAACCTGCTGACATTGACCCTGGCAAGCTTGTGATTGCCCCCGGTTCTTTCCGGGCCGGAAATGATGACCCTGTTGGGCAGTTGCCCTTTTCTGCGGTTGGACCTTTGGCCACTGGACTTGCTTTGGCCACCATGCAGGAAGCCCAGCAATTTCTTGTGGCTGGACAGACCTTGACACATGAGGGTTTGGCTTTACTGATTGTCAATCCACCCAGTGAAATCCTGACCAACCTCCAGTGGTCCAGCATCCGTTTTGCAGCGAGATGTAGCATGAACCATGAGCCGATGTTGTTGCCTGGTATCCTTGTCCAGCTTGGTCGCAAACCTGTGTTCCCGTTCCATGCCAAGAACATGCCAGCGGTTGTCTCAGCCGAAGTCGCCTGTGCCCGCATCACGGTGTACCAGGATCAGTGGGATGGGGATTGGGAACAGTTTTCGTCCAGGCCAGTCAAACGAGTTTTGGACTTGCTGCCTTGTCTCCACACATGTCGCCAAGGTGTTGGCTGCTCTTGTCCTGGATGGCACCCTGGTGAAAATGTCTCTCATGATGCGTTGTTGGACGTGTTTCGCAGACAGTTCATGTCAGATGCTGGCCGACCGGTCAAGTGGGACGTCGCTACTCACTTTGCAGTGTTCATCAGGTATGCCAAAGACCTTGAATCTGCAGTTTTGGGTTCTGAGTGGGCTGCATGGAGTGTACATTGAACCCAAGACCGAAGATGCCTTGAAACCCCACATGGATTTTCAGGTGGTTTGGTTGCCTCAGTTGGATTTTGCCGAGGCCTCTCACCGTGCCAAGCTTGAGCCTCATTGTTTGGGTTTAGCCCGGACTGGCAAACGATATGGACTCAGGGTTACCACTGCCCACTTCCAGCAGGTCTTCACATCAGCCAAACCTGAAGCGGTGTACCTTGCTCCAGGTAGCAGACGGTCCTTTCTGTGCGGCCCTTGGCCTTTTGGGTCCGATCGCAAGAGCATTGCCAAGATCCTTGCTGCCAGTGGCTGGGAAAGCAGACCGCTTCAACCAGTCCAACATGTTCCAGGGGGCTTAATGTGGTCTGTGCAAGCCTTGGTTGACCCACCCAGCAATGTCTTAGCTATGCAGCATGGGCAGGTAGTGATCACGAGCCAAGACACCAATCCCCCTGCGGCCAACAATGCTCAGGACATCGTGGGTCATGCCAAAACGGTCCAGCTCTGTAGCACAGGTGAGCCTGCGGTCGATCCTTGGCTGACACAGGACCCATGGTCCAAGGCCATTGCTGCAGTGCCAACCGCAACAAGCCCCACCAACCACCCATGTGTTACATGAGATGGAGCAGCGGTTGGAGCAAAGCCTGCTGGCCAAGATGCAACCTGCTGTTGAGCCCATGGATGTGGACAGTCAGGAACAGAGGATGCAGGCCTTGGAGCACCAAGTTCAACAACTGGCTGGCCGCCAGGGCCAACTTGAGGCCACTGTCCATGACCACCATGCCCAAAACACGGCACAGGTACATTCCTTGCAACAACAGATGGTTGCCCAACTTGAGCTTCAGTCGACACAGATGCAGGGCATGTTGTCGGACCAAATGTCCCGCATTGAGGCCATTTTGTCGAAGAAACCAAGGACGGAATGAGGGGGAGGGGACCCTTCGGTCAAGCCCAGACCGAGGGTGACCCCATGGACTTTTCGACCAATCCGGGCG